TAGGTTAAAACACAATGGCCTCGATTTGAGTCTCAGTGAGGCCTTTGATGAATCCCACCCCACTACCCGTGGTGAAGTTAACTCGAGAACCCTCATAATAATTATTCTTGTCTGTCTCCTCTGAGGCGTTTGTCGCCTATTTTTTGTATTTTGCATCTTTGATGAAGAAAGCGTATTGAAATATCGAACTGTCGACGAGTTTGCTGTTAAAACCGTGGTATTTGCTATGTCTGGACCAGAGGGTACAAAACGTTAGGTGTTAGATTACGAAAGATATGGGAAATCCCATTATAGGGGTCAGTTGAGGTTGTTCATTGAATAGAGTGACCCTGAACTAATTGTGTGGAACCAAGTCGCCAAACAACCCCAGTCATGGTGGTCATATCACACAAGCTAGTAAGACCATGGTTTAACGGTGTGACATCAGTCCCTCATGCCGCGTTAAATGGTCTTATAACACCCTCTCATGCGTTCGTTTCCACTGTATTAACCCCACATATTCGAGTACGTATTTTGGATCAGTCTTTATCCAAATCCAGCCAGGACCAGGCGCGTTAGAGAAAGTCATCGAGTCATAATATAAGACTGGAAGAGTTGTAGTAACACGTGGCCTAAATACGCCATGATGGAATTCCCTTTCTGGACACGTCATCAATACAACTGCTTGTTTTAATGTTGTCTTCCAACACAAACACTATATTGAGCAAACATGCATAGTAAAGGCCTACATTCAAGCCGTTTTATTAGCAGTACCAACAAATTCATACGTATGTATCTTATGGCATCGTTTAAACGTTGCCATAGTTGCGTAACGACAGGAACAGGCGGTTGGTAGCAAACCCTATCAGCTTCGATTGCACAGAGTAAAGATTTGTCATAGGCGTCTTGGCTAACAAGAACTCGTCGTCATTATCCTGCATTGATGCGCGGTCATTTATGTTAGACTAAATGTGCAAGGTTAGAGCTTCAATCAAGATGTCTGACTTGGAAGATTTAGATATTTCGTATGTTACATTCAGACAGAGCCGCTGGACAATGAAAATCATTGACAGAAGTTTATCAATGGGACCTGTCAGATAAACTATAGCGTGCGCCTAAGCTTGTGTAAAGCAATTAGATCATATGGTCTACTCCTCGCTTTGATACGGCAGTGCTAGTTGCCTGACTCGGGGTAGGCAGACAGGTAACATGGACTAGACTGGCGATCTAGATGTCTTTGTCAGATAATCAGAGGGCATTTACCTATAAAACATACCCTGATTGGGTACGGTGACACATCGTACCCAAGTACGAGAAATGCACGTAGAACCGAAGACCACATTCTCTGTTCTGTTTGATAGACACGTATATTAATTAATGAATTCAACCCGTGTGTCTCACGTGGGGTATGTTTCAATACGAGGCTCTGTTTTATTGAAAGCTACACGTATTCCAAATAGTATTTAAACACTAAAAAGGACGCGTTATCAAATTCATTAACTAGTGCATTTTCTGTTTGTATCGGTCCTGTATGAAGTTATTGAAAATAATTTTACAATTAAAACCGTACAATGGCTTGAAGGAGTATTGGCGGTACTCTGTGTGCCTTGCGTCGTGTTTTAGAACCCATGGGATTGGCCATGATTACACGTGTGCCCGGCCCATATGTTACAGTACTTCACAGATCGGTACAGCATTGTTACAGAAATAAACCAGTGCTGGAATCTATAGACATTGACCGAGTGGCAATGAAGGTGGTGTGTACACGTGTGAAGACAGCCTTGGAAATGTGATCACACTACACGTCTCTCTTGAAGGTAGCGCTACGTATTCTACTAAAGAGATGAATCGTTAGATGTCACCTCTACTACTCAAGTATGTCCTCCTGAAACAAATTCTACCCAACCCTATCCTATTCTATGAAAAATAAATCGTAATAAATCCCCAAATTCAAAGTAATACGTGGCCAACCGAAAATGACTATAGAAATCATATTATGGCTGAAAATAAATTAAAAAAACCCGCTCTGTATTTATATATTTTCAATTCCTATCCTGTTCTTAACATGTCTGTTCTAATCCACCGTTACTCCCCTCTAATGCGGCGGTATCGGCGTCATACCGCCCACCCACAACATGGAAGCAAGCCACTACCGCTGCAACCACGGACTACCCGGCTACCCGGCTACACTAGAGTCTGTCCCTGACTGCTGTCTCCACGTTAAGTGTCACATGAGTCTGCTACATCAGTGCATGCCCAAAGCCATCGCCCTGCCTTCCCCATATTTACGTTACACCACATGCATGTCCAAACAGCGAATGTCCAGGTAGTTATCCTTACAATCAACAGCAGCATCAAGCCTATAGCACACACTACAACACTGCAGTATTAGAGCCCTGGATGTCTACAAGAGTGCAGCACCTAAACAACCACCTTGGCTCTCCACACCCTCACCACTGCCTAAACCTCCAACATCGCAGCACCTGCACCATGCCTTGCCTAAACCTCCAACATCGCAGCACCTACACCACCACCCTGCCTGCACCCCATCCCATGCCTAAACCTCCAACATCGCAGCACCTACACCACCACCCTGCCTGCACCCCATCCCATGCCTAAACCTCCAACATCGCAGCACCTACACCACCACCCTGCCTGCACCCCATCCCATGCCTAAACCTCCAACATCGCAGCACCTACACCACCACCCTGCCTGCACCCCATCCCATGCCTAAACCTCCAACATCGCAGCACCTTCACCATGCCTTGCCTAAATCACCAACATCGCAGCACCTACACCACCACCCTGCCTGCACCCCATCCCATGCCTAAACCTCCAACATCGCAGCACCTTCACCATGCCTTGCCTAAATCACCAACATCGCAGCACCTACACCACCACCCTGCCTGCACCCCATCCCATGCCTAAACCTCCAACATCGCAGCACCTACACCACCACCCTGCCTGCACCCCATCCCATGCCTAAACCTCCAACATCGCAGCACCTTCACCATGCCTTGCCTAAATCACCAACATCGCAGCACCTACACCACCACCCTGCCTGCACCCCATCCCATGCCTAAACCTCCAACATCGCAGCACCTTCACCATGCCTTGCCTAAACCATCAACATCGCAGCACCTACACCACCACCCTGCCTGCACCCCATCCCATGCCTAAACCATCAACATCACAGCACCTACACCACCACCCTGCCTGCACCCCATCCCATGCCTAAACCTCCAACATCACAGCACCTACACCACCACCCTGCCTGCACCCCATCCCATGCCTAAACCTCCAACATCGCAGCACCTACACCACCACCCTGCCTGCACCCCATCCCATGCCTAAACCTCCAACATCGCAGCAGCTACACCACCACCCTGCCTGCACCCCACCCCATGCCTAAACCTCCAACATCACAGCACCTACACCACCACCCTGCCTGCTCCCCATCACATGCCTAAACCTCCAACATCACAGCACCTACACCACCACCCTGCCTGCACCCCATCCCATGCCTAAACCTCCAACATCACAGCACCTACACCACCACCCTGCCTGCACCCCATCCCATGCCTAAACCTCCAACATCACAGCACCTACACCACCACCCTGCCTGCACCCCATCCCATGCCTAAACCTCCAACATCACAGCACCTACACCACCACCCTGCCTGCACCCCATCCCATGCCTAAACCTCCAACATCACAGCACCTACACCACCACCCTGCCTGCACCCCATCCCATGCCTATACCTCCACCATCACAGCACCTACACCACCACCCTGTCTGCACCCAATCCCATGCCTAAACCTCCAACATCGCAGCACCTACACCATCACCCTGCCTGCACCCCATCCCATGCCTAAACCTCCAACATCGCAGCACCTACACCACCACCCTGTCTGCACCCCATCCCATGCCTAAACCTCCAACATCACAGCACCTACACCACCACCTTGCTTACATCCTCCAGCTCCCCCTGCCCCATCGCGACACAGCCGTACCACAAGCCTCCACTATAACAGCCCCCGTACAAGCCTGCCTCCCGTAACACCCAGCTGTATGCATACAGCGCAGACCACACATTTGAATTGGTACATTGGAGACAGTTCGCTCTATCTTCCTTGCATCACCCCAGTGACACGTTACGAAGATGGAGCAGCATCTCACTGATATCAACCAGTCACCCATCGCCTTACAGAACATCATATCGAGCTGCATCTATTTCCTGGGAGATATCCAATCTGCCTACACAACAGAGCATCTTAAAGATACATTACCCCGGTGAATGTTCATGCAACGTCTAAATATAGTCAGAACATACATTTCCATCCCCTGACATAGCTTCCACAAAGTCCAAACCTACACCGAAGACCGTCCACAACTACATCCATACAACCACCGAGACATGACACATTCACCCTAATAATCCCTCCGATCTGTACACGGAGGGTCGGCTCCCAGTATAATCCCCAGTCCGACCCTACCGGGCTGGGATGAAGCACCCAGGGGCTGTCCCTGACAATGTGGTATCTCGCGGGAGGAAATACCCCCGGAGCAGACGTGATGCTTCACAAAAAAGATCGTCTGTTCAGCCGGTTACCGTCTCGGCCGCCTGATTAGGGCTCGACTGTCCGAATCTAGCCTAATTGCATCAGGACCCAAAAACTCTATTGTTGACACCGGCAGTCTTCGGGTTGACTACATGGCACGCGGTGCAGGTAATTCACTTCGCCTGGGTTGAGTCGGTCAACTCTTTACTTAATCCTCCGCCACTTTATACATTATGCCACTACCCGTGTCAACATGAAGGCATTGTACCCGAACACAAATACACCCGAATCAGGAAAGACATGAAGCTCGGGTAATATAATCAAACGTATAGCATTATACAGGACACCTCAACCAGGTTGTATTGTAGAGGTTTGCAGGGGAATAATCCTACATGCACTGTTTTAAGTAGCGGGTGTATTCTAGGAACAACACCACGTAACTAATTAGAAAACTTACCATCCCCTTGCAAAGGCTGAAGGTAGCATGCGAGTCCTCAATACCGTTCACAGTCCCAGAATAAAAGCATCTATCCAATCCACTGTCCCCTAGATCTTCAAACCACGAGTAATTCCCTTCCGTTCTCTGAAATATTAATCCAGGGTATAAGAACTCCGAGAATCTTGTCAGATTCACAAGCATTTCCTTTCCAAACACACTAATCCCGTAGACTGCATTTCCACCACCAGAGTTCACACTTCTCTTGTGGAGATTTTTCGGGTGATATCCAATATCATCATCATCATCATCATGAAGGTACTTCTTGGGGTAAAATACTTCCGAGTTAAGTGAAGAGCTCTGCGATCCATCTTCATCAGGGGTACCTGGAAAAAAGTTGTATGTAACAGTTAATACATTTCTAAAACATGACTTTACAAAAATACCTATAGTCTGATTGTAGCATTCGGGTTGATTCCTGGTGTGGGTGAAACGCTGGGTAGATTAGTATAACGTTATTTACCTGGTTCCTGGCGCGGACCGGTATTACCCTGCGCTTGCTGAGCGAGGATGACTGGTTGCAATAACATTAAACATCCCCATAGCCCCACCACCGTCAACAACACAGAACGCATGGCGACAACGTCCTCAACAAAGCGACTTCATTTGAAACTCATTGAAACACTTTCTGTCAAACCCAGTCTAAAAGAGGTGAGCTTGCTAAAGCTTGCCTATCTCTGTACGTGGACTCGCTTCTAGTCCACAGCGAGTGACTATTCCCAAGCTAAGCTCCGCCCCTACCTAATTCAACCAATCGTATTCGCTTACTGCATCTCCGCTTTGATAAGGAACGGCCTTATATCCATCAGGCCTGTACTACAGGCCCACTACGTTACACCGCTAGTACACGGCCGGTGCTTGGAGGGATGGTTGATGTATATACTAACCAGTAGAGTAACATGCACTAAGAGTTGAGTCATGGACTCCTAGTACTAAGAGTGATTGAGAACAAGGCATTAGCGGGAGACCTATGACACAAGTACGAGTAGTACATTTGTCAATGAACGACTTGTGAGGGTGACCCAGCTGTTGAACTGCACCATATAGGAGTTACACAGTACGTTCGTAGCACTTCAATACTACATCGCTTAGCCCCTGTTGCTGTGGTCACATGCCTGCAACAGCCAGTAAACAAGGGGACGTTTGTCCATTCTCAAATACCTAACATACTGCTAGGGAGTTGTAAGACACGAACGTTGTCACGCTTCGCTGGGTTTTATCATTGCCATAAAACTTTCAGCGACTACAATAAAACAGTTTTCTGTGGTACCGAAAAGACCGAAGCAATACAATTTACACTTTGTCAAGACGAAAGTGAAATGTTTTGATGCTCCTTACATAGTCGTAGAATGAATTCCATGCGTCAGGACTTCAACCAGGAACATCTTTTCAATATTTATTTAAATTTTCATGAGAAACTCTGTCAGAAGATCATCCATTCATGAAGTTTGTTTGTTGAACGGCAATTATAGGATTTTCATATTAAGCGGCGATTACAACGCACTGGTGTTAAGGGTTAATAACATATGGACGTTCAGAGTGTATAACATATGGACGTTCAGAGTGTATAACATGTGGACGTTCAGAGTGTATAACATCTTGATGCTCAACGTTGATAACATGCTGGTGTTCAGTGTGATGCTCAAAGTTGAAAAAATCTTCATGTAGAAGTTGAAAACATCTTGATGTGAAAGTTGACAACATCTTGTGTAAAATTGATAACATCTTGATTTAAAAGTTGATAACATCTTGATGTAAAAGTTGATAACATCTTGATGTAAAATTTGAAAACATCTTGATGTAGAGGTTGAAAACATCTTGTGTTAAGGTTGAAAACATCTTGATGCTCTGCGTTGATAACATCTTGATGTTCTACGTTGATAAATCTATAAGTGTTCAGTGTGATGTTCAAGGCTCATGACACATGTTGATGCTCTAAGTTGATAACATCTTGATGTTCAAAGCTGATGAAATATTGGTGTTCAACATCTTGATGATAAAACAATTCCACACATGTATATACACTATACCTGGCAGAAATTGCTGAAAAATCACAGAAACGCCGGTTTTATTTAATAAAATGATATTTTCGAAAGATTTGTATGACATACAAATAGGTATTAATGTGTTTTATTGTAAATTCGTCTTTCAATCGTCTTCTAACTGGTGTGATTCTTGTCAATACCGTGATATAACTGGAATACTGTTAAAAGCGGCGTTAAATCCAACTCACTCATTCGCTTGTCTAACCATAGTGTGGTGTACTTGCTCGTTCGTCCACCTACAGATGTCAGTAAGTCATCATTCCACAAACTCACTCGCCTACAAGGTCACAAACTCGCTCACTCGCCCAGATGAACCCCACCGTCCACTATACAACCCACAAACTCACTGCCTACAAGGTCACAAACTGACTCACTCGCCCAGATGAACCCCACTGGTCCCTATACAACCCACAAACTCACTCACATGCTCACTAAAGACAAAACCCACAAACACATTCACAGTCTCATTAGGTCATCGTACAACCCAAATCCCATTCACCTACAATCTCGCTTAGCCACTTGGTCTCACTAAGCCACCATACAACCAACGAACCCACTCACTCGTCCGCCCACAAACTCACTCACCCGCCCATCCACAAACTCATTCGCACACCCACAAACTCACCCACCCACTAAGCCACCATACAACCCACAAACCCACTCACACGTCCGCCCACAAACTCACTCACCCACTAAGCCACCATACAACCCACAAACCCACTCACTCGTCCGCCCACAAACTCACTCACCCACTAAGCCACCATACAACCCACAAACCCACTCACTCGTCCGCCGACAAACTCACTCACCCGCCCATCCACAAACTCATTCGCACACCCACAAACTCACCCACCCACTAAGCCACCATACAACCCACAAACCCACTCACACGTCCGCCCACAAACTCACTCACCCACTAAGCCACCATACAACCCACAAACCCACTCACTCGTCCGCCCACAAACTCACTCACCCACTAAGCCACCATACAACCCACAAACCCACTCACTCGTCCGCCGACAAACTCACTCACCCGCCCATCCACAAACTCATTCGCACACCCACAAACTCACCCACCCACTAAGCCACCATACAACCCACAAACCCACTCACTCGTCCGCCCACAAACTCACTCACCCACTAAGCCACCATACAACCCACAAACCCACTCACTCGTCCGCCGACAAACTCACTCACCCGCCCATCCACAAACTCATTCGCACACCCACAAACTCACCCACCCACTAAGCCACCATACAACCCACAAACCCACTCACTCGTCCGCCCACAAACTCACTCACCCACTAAGCCACCATACAACCCACAAACCCACTCACACGTCCGCCCACAAACTCACTCACCCACTAAGCCACCATACAACCCACAAACCCACTCACACGTCCGCCCACAAACTCACTCACCCACTAAGCCACCATACAACCCACAAACCCACTCACTCGTCCGCCCACAAACTCACTCACCCACTAAGCCACCATACAACCCACAAACCCACTCACTCGTCCGCCCACAAACTCACTCACCCACTAAGCCACTATACAACTACAAACTAGTCCTGTACGATTACGGCGAAATATATGCATTTTATTAAAACAAGACCAATCTAGATTTATATAGGAGCAGGTCCAGCAAGTTCTATTCTGATGTCTATGAAATCAGCAAAAGGATTTTTTTTTTAAATTTTAGAGGAGAGAAATGTATTGTGTAATAAAAGATTTCAAATGTCATTCTACCCACAAACTCACTCACCCAGTCTCGGACCAACATCAGCACCTGTGACGGTGGCCTGGTAACCCCGATCTGTATAAATCGGGGCAATGGTTGTGAACAAGGCATATATATGAAGGATGGGGTTCACAATGCTACACACATTCATCTTGCCACCCCTGTGTAACAAACGATGTTTGTAGTGAAACATATGCTCGGTCTGTACAACTGAACACTTGACTGATCGCGGACAGCATCGGGCTCAGCCTTCTCCCTTCAAGCGATCCATCTCGTCAACGGGAGCCCTCGGCTGGTGTAAATAGGGTTAGTCATTCACGTTATAGTGCTGTAGCCATTAATGCGTTTTACCTTTTGCGGTCAAGTACATTTTTTATCATTTACTATGCAGTGACACGGCTACATTTTCATAAAGGCAGCTATTAACAGTTAAATATTTACCTTTTAGGACCATTCCTGCCACATGACGTCATGGGCACGGAGAGTGAGTGAGTAAATGTGCTTTGACGCCGCTTTTAGCAATATTCTAGCAAGATCACGACAGGGAGATGGGCTTCACATTTCTACCTATGTGGGAAATCGAACCCTGTCTGTGTGATGAGCGAACGCTTTAACCACTAGGCTACCCCGCCGCCCCTTGGGCACCAATGGACTTCAATAATGCGGTTTATATACAGTGTGTAACCATGTTGGGAATCGAAGCAGGGTCATCAGTGTGACGAGCCAACGCTTTTCGTATACGGCTACGAACGTCATTATAGATGGGCGATACAGAGTGGGAAAGATAATTGTGGATAAGTTGATGGATAGAAACGTGAAATTAATGATGGATGGATAGATGGATGAACGGTGTGTATATAGGATTGATGACGGATGGATTGCTTATGGATAGACAGATGGATAGACAGGAGCGATATGTTGTTACGTACATATAGGCGATTGGCTGTAGGACAGGTGGTGATGGGTGTATGGCTGATGGATTGTGACTAGATAGATTTAATGGATGCATGGCTGATGGATGGTGGCTAGACAGATGGTGATGGATGTATGGCTGATGGATTGTGACTAGATAGATTTAATGGATGCATGGCTGATGGATGGTGGCTAGACAGATGGTAATGGATGCATGGCTGATGGATGGTGGCTAGACAGATGATGGATGCATGGCTGATGGATGGCGGCTAGACAGATGATGGATGCATGGCTGATGGATGGCGGCTAGACAGATGATGGATGCATGGCTGATGGATGGCGGCTAGACAGATGATGGATACATGGCTGATGGATGGCGGCTAGACAGATGATGGATGCATGGCTGATGGATGGCGGCTAGACAGATGATGATGGATGGATGGCGGCTAGACAGGTGGTGATGGATGTATGGCTGAAGGATGGTAGCCGGACAGATGGTGATGGATGTATGGCTGATGGATGGTATCTAGACAGATGGCGATGGATATATGGCTGATGGATGGAGGGTTGACAGATGATGGATACATGGCTGATGGATGGAGTGTTGACAGATGGTGATGGATATATGGCCGATAGGTGTGGATAGACAATGGATGGAGGGTAGACAGATGGCAATGGATGCATGGTTGGTTGATTGAGGGTAGGCAGGGGGCATGGTTGATGGCCGGTTTGTAAAGGCAGCGGGCTGCTGGGTTGCGGCTAGACAGATGGGCGATGGATGAATGGTTGATGATATATGCTCGATCTATTGATACACAGATGGGTGACATGAGGATGGTGGTTGGATAAATAGCTACAGGATTAATTTGGGGAGGTCATATGGGCATAAATGGGTGGCTGAATATAGATGGATAATGGACGCGTGGAATGGACGCCGGATAAATAAATGGACATTGGATGGATAGACAGATGGTTTGGTGGATAAAACTTGGATGGACTGGTGGGTGACATACAGATGATGATGGACATTTTGGTAGACTGGTCATGATTGATAGTTGATATAAGGCGATGGTCGCCGGGGTCTAGAAAGACAGGCACGTAACCGATGAAGAGGAAGACACGATAGGATGACATGCTAGATGACCCGGGTTAGAATATGTTTTCAGCTACCCATTCTTGACGTAAAAGGCGAGTATGCTTGTCGTAAGAGGCGTCTAACGGGATCGGGTGATCAGGCTCTCTGATTTGGTTGATGCATTTCATCGTATTCCAGTTGCGTGGATCGATGCTCATTATGCCAATCACTAGATTGTCTGGTACAGACTCGATAATGTACAGACCGCCGTCATATAGCTGGAAGATTGCTGAATGCGGCGTTAAACAACAAACAAAGCATCCGAAAATGGGTGACGCACACCCTCAGCAAAGCCACTCCTCCCCCTAACACACCCACACCCCACCCTATGGATCCACCAGCGAGATGGGTATATTTACATGTGGATAGATACACAAACAGACTGGTAGATCCATCATGAATTAGAATCTCGAACATATTTCCAAATGCCTCAAAGTGGGGCAGAATCTGGTGTTTATTCCCGTGGCCTAGTAACTAGTGGTAAACAGTGTAAAGTTATAAACAAAGCAGTAAACAAACTAATAGCGTGGTGCCAATCCCCGAAACAATGCACTAGCTCTGACGCTCCTGCATACTTCCAGAGTCCGCCGTCTGTTAAGATACTTAGCTAAAACCTACCAGCTTATCAGCTGTGCGCTTTATGGATATGCATTTGTGGTGCGCTGGTGTAAGAACGGTTGCTGTACACTACATGGCAAAAACAAATATGCGCGATGCATGGCACCGATGCTCGGAAAGAAAGCTCGGAGCTAAGGTTACCCAGTAAATAGAGATTAGCGTAGCTGTGGTGTACGTACATGTGATATGTTACATATAAATATCCTTTGCCATACACTTGAATATAAACAAGCGATGGAATACACTCGGGGGTTCCAGCAGGTGTTGCGGCTTGTTGGAAGAGCGGTGTAAATGCTTGCAGTTAAGCCACCCTCGTTAAGCCACGCATCGCTGCTCCGCGAGGCTGATGCTTTCGTTATTCCAGGAACTCGTTAATCCGCATCTTCGAGTATCCACTGTGCTGTATCTTCATTCTATTCCGCCATGATAAACATCCTGCTCCCATTCTATATCATAGTTTCATTTGGAGCCTGATTCGAATGACACGACGCTAAAAATAGCCTTCCAACCAAAATATTATCATGAGAGGAGGTGACGTCATTTCCGAAATGAAGTTATGGTGGCGAATGGGTCCTTGGTCCATGGTATTTCGCACAATAGATCATCTCCCCGAGGCAAGGGCGTTAACTGACTATAAAAGTCCAGTTTCCACCCTTGCCGAACTAGGCTGGAATTCCGGAGTTACATCTTGGCTGGACTTTCATAGTCCAATCAAAATCGCGTAACGAACTAGACATACGGTCTACATGGAGTTCAACGTGTAGATTTCAGTCGGCTATAGGATTTGCAAAACATGTGTACTGTCAACTGGGCGTCGACAATATCTTGCAAATCTTTTCATGTTTTAATCAAGGTGCTCACGTAATTTGATGCACTTCGTGGGGTAAGACCCGTTTTATTACAATATGGATCTCGATGATCGATCAGATCGTCTTGACTGGGCGCCGCCATTTTGTTTGAAGCAAATGCAAGTGATATGAGAGATGGAATCTGATTGGTCGATAGAAGGGACATAGGAGGGACATAACTCGTAATAGTCATTTTCGCGCTACGATCGAGTATGGAAAATCATGGGTTCGATGTTAAAGCTAATTTATAGTGTCCCCACCGTGATAATGCTGGAATATTGCTAAAACCATACTCGTTCACCCATTGTTTACAGTTGTTCACTTACGTAGTATACAGCGCAGTTCGACGACAGTCATAGTGTATCCCTTTACTGACATATGAATTAACCATTAACACGTTTGGAATGAGATGACAATGATTAAGATAGTAAATGTAGAGAATTGATGTTTACAGACATGCATTATCAGTTTCAGATTACATTGTTCACAAGTTTATTGTAGAACCAACAACTTCTTAAGGATCAAAACCTCTATTCTTCTTAGATTCTTCTTCTTAACAATCAATTATTATTATTATTATTATTATTTCTTGCAGTACTAACAGACTGACTATAAATAAGGAAAGTCTAATTAAATAAGCTACACAAAACTTTCCCAACTTTCAATTGTGACAAACTACAGATTTTCACTTCTGCTTTATGCGATATGCCGAAGAGTGTGCCTATCACAAAATGTATGTTAGAATTCAAATGTTACAAGAGCTTTCAAAATATTTATTCTTTTCAGAACGTTTTAATTACTATATTCTGCCCCTAAATTTCGAAAAACAAAGTTTAGGGCATTTACATATATTGTTGTGTTCGGCAGGATTTCACATGACGCGGGAATTTTATATAGACGCAATTTTCACCCAGGTATTTCGGGTCCTGAGTCATAGTGGGCACATGGTAGTCCCGGGTTCGCGATTCCCCACACTGGTACAATGTGTGAAGCCGATTTCTGGTGTCCCCGCCGTGATATTGCTGGGATATTGCAAAGGCTGCGTAAAACCGTATAGACACTCATATAGACGCTGGGTATCATTCTTGTGAGTCTTTCTACACACAAAAACCAATGGAACGGTAACAGAAACTGTTTATTTTTTCATTATAACATGTTTCAACCATGTTATGATTTTGACTGTCACTTGCATTTTTAGAAACATTTTAACTTAGTTATTTTCCCCTTTTTCAATATATCTTGCATACAGATTAAATGTTGATCTCTAAGTAATTTCGCCCTTGGGAATGACAGAAATCTATAATTGTGGGTTCGAATCCCGGTTCGCACCGATTATGTTTCTGGGTTTCTCAGCACCAAACCCTTGCTTGTGAGTTTCGCCAAGGTGGTACACATCTGGGACCTGCATCACTTCGGGCTTTCCTCTCACGTCAAGCTGATGATATAACTGGAAAGATGTTTAAAGCAGCGTTAAACCGAACTCACTGAAGACTGGTCATCGGCTGTAAAAAAACCCAGCTGGAATATGTTATCATTGTCCATCTGTGGTTTCAAACAGCTACGAGAAAGTGCATACATAAAGTTTCAACATGACCGGTACAAACATGTAAAAAGGTATGTAGTCAACTCTATACATTAGTATTTGTGTCTACATGACCGGTACAAACGTGTACAATTCCATGTAGACAAATCTATACATTAGTATTTGTGACTACTGGCAGAAGAATAAGGTTAGATACGGTGTCAGCAATTTCAAATTAATGTGTATACACAACGCACGCAACATTCTGAATGAATTGTTGATTGAACTAAATAATCAATAAACTAATCAACTCGACCGTCAACCCCACAAACAATCAGTTGACCAGTCAACTAACCACATAAGAGATGAATCAACAAAACAAAAGCCACTTAATCTGTTTGGAAAACAACCAATTAAGAGTTAACGACCAATCAACTAATTAAGCATATGATAACGATCAATCAGCAAATTAAGAAGTCGTTAATGAACAATCAACTAATTAAGGAGTCAAATCATTCAACGAACAATTTAACCATGCAGTATAATACTGAACAAAAAAATTAGGGATCATGAATATTTTTGTGTATGCTTTAATGTAATTGTATGTTCTGTGTTCACTAAAAAACATCCCCCAAAATATTCATGATTCCTATCTTATTTTGTTTTCACAATATGTAACAATGCCATAAGGTAAATTTAAAAAAGTTAACGTGCTGATCGAGTAAAGCATAAACAGACAAAATGGCCATCGTGTATATTCGCACAAGGGTCATTAACGCGGGAATGAGCACGTGCTGTACCTGTAATTAAGCAATTAGCCTAAGTCACAGTGGGGGGTACTCCCTGCCTAATACTACAGGTAGGAATAGGTAGAACTCGCCAGGGGGTATCCAGCCTACGTTGGGAATTAATAGCAGCTCGTGCATTACTCATTTTGTCTGTCATTTTAATAGGGTTTTTTCATGTTCGCTAATGTGATAAAGACGTAATGATTTATATAATTGTCTATTCGTGCATGGGGGCTTGTAACGCAAACCGCATCTATATCACTATCACTATGCAGTGTCATATGTAGTACTATCTCTACAATAGGTTCGTTTTATATAAGACTATGACACTGGTAGTGATCGTCGACCATATATCGTGTTTTTTTTTATTTACAAGCCCCTACTTGTTAGTGTTTTATTATTCGTCCTCTCGCTTTTCAGACACCCATTTGTAATGTAATGCACAGCATGTCATAAACTAGAGAATATATATACTATCGTTTAAACTATATTGGTCTGATAAAACATTCATAACTTTTAGGTTTGTTTTCAAATTCAGCGCTAGAAATTGGCACTAGTCCTTCCCAAACTGCCCAATAGTTAAGGTATCACGTGGACTAGTAGAAATTTGCCCCTTTTTTTAGGGTTTTGCTATATGCTATCATTATAAGGACTAGTGGACTAAAACTGTTAGTTTCTATCCCGGAAATTGATCTTTACAAGTGACATTTTCTTGTAGCGTTGTCACGTGTTTTTTCATTATTTTTTTAGATTTATTGATAGAGCTAACGCTTTCTATAGAGCTTTTTCATATTATTAAACCCTCAAACATATTTAATAATATTTGAGTCACGTTTACACGATAGTGAGTGAACTTATAACGTTGAACAAAAAATACTTTCGTAAATGTATTGAAATGTATAATTTAGCGTTCACACGTTTCACGTTTGAAATGAGGCTGAAGTCACAGATGGCAGGCTGGCAAAAGGCAATCTAACTTCCCGCCTTACCGGATGTCACGGAACATGGGCAGACTCACTCAATGAGCGCATGCGCAAAATTCGAAGCCAACAGGACGCCGTGTTGGGAGATGGATTCATATTTGTAATTCTTTGTATTTTATGTTCATTCTAAAGGGAAAATATGGCTTGAACACAAGCAGATTTCTAAATCAGTGATTGGAGGTGCAAATTCTTAACATTTGGACCTCTAACTCATCAATGACTTCACGATTTCAAATGTTTTCCAAGCAAACCTCGTGAGTATCTTTGTCTACAGTTGACTGTTTACTGAGTTCGCTTGTATACGCATTGTTGATTCCGGCGATCGTTTAAGATTAGTAAGGTTTGTTTTCTTAGTGCCAGGGTACTTGCATGTAGGTTTTGGTCTGAAGCTCATTATCATAATTTTGAATTGGAGAAATAAAAAGAAATAATCAGTTGGGAAGGAAGTTGGACGCCATGATGCATATTTTATTAGGTCGATCCACTTCCTGTTTAGCAATGGCCGGCTGTTTCACAGCGAAGCCAGCAGAACGCGCGGGTCACAAAGAGCTGGCGCTGATCTCGTGGATAAAGCATGTCAACCGATTTGCTAGTGGTATCAAGTTAAGAAGGCGATGTTGATTTCAAGCGTGTTTTAGCACGATTCCCTACCGGGTCAACAATTTAAATAACAAAACATGACTGTTGTCATGCATTTGATGTAGGCTAGTCGATCTATAGACCTATTCCACGCTATTTTTGTAGTCTAAAGCATACATGTCGTGTTGATCACAAGTGATAGTTTAGATTAAGTGTACGTGCTGTTGTAATACATGTATGAAGTAAATGTATGGTCACTGAACATGTGCGTGAATTGGTCATTTTTGTTATTCTTTGAAAACATTGCCACTAGGCCTATCGATTTTGACCCATTTTAAGACGTGTGAGGAACAATAAAGTCCATATTTTGAAAGTGTATTTTGTTTATATTGCAGTGTGTACCAAACACTTTCGTGTCCACTAGCCCACATATGTAATCTTATCAGTACATTTTGAGTGTTAATATGTCATGATTATATATGCAATTTAAATTACTAAGCTTACTAGACCAAAAGAAAATTGCAACTTGCAATGGAACTTCAGTCTGTCTATATGAACACTTTCGGCACCATCCTTTCTGATGTTGGGAATTTGAATTATGTTGTGTTGAATTAATAGCACTGAAACTAGTGATAGATTAAAATACATGCAAGTGAAAAAGCTTTGCCTAGCCCTTTGACTATTTTGTGTTGGACCTCATGCCTCCCCCCAGCCCAACTTCACACCCACTTGAAACCTCAACACAACAAACAAAACAGAACAACAATAACAGGCCATGATATTGACCTAGTTGAAATACTGTTTAAAGGAGCACTAATAATATTCCCTCTCAGCATATGGGATCTTTCAGTGGATCTATGTAAGTAGTAGTCCATGCAGTCACCTTTATGCTCTGTTTATCAACTAATCAGTTTTTTTGTTTTTTTTTCAGCAAAGGTATTAGATAGGAACTCCAAGAAAACATGGAGCCAAAAGTTGACTTAAATTTTGACGTGAAAATATTCTGTCAAAATTTACGGGCCACTAAACCACCTTACAAGTGTCCTGTTGATAGTTGTGGAAAGGTGTACAAAAGCTTCTCGGGCATTCAGTTCCATCTGTACAACTATGATCATGACAATCCAGAGAATGTGCCATCACCAGCATCAGTCAAAAAGACAAAGAAGAAATTGGCAAAGTGGCACCATAGGCAAAATCGCCGTTCACCTACCCCACCTGAGTTTTTTAGATCTCCCACAAGAGAGACTTTGACTTACGCAGAGGCTCAAAGACTTGTAGAAATTGACCTTGAAGGAAGAATCCACAGAATAGATATTTATGAACCTTTAGAAATAATTTCACAAGACGAGATTGATAATCAACACAATACTGAAAAAGAGGAGAAGGCTGAAAAGTCTCCACTCAAAGGTGGAAAAAGTTCGGACAATAACAAGAAAAAAGAAAATGGTACTGTGATCTCAAATAATACTGTCAAACTTCCAGAAGCACAAGTTAAAGTATTAGATGATTATATCAAACCGTCTGGGCCTCCACAGCGAACATCTTCCTACTATCGTTACATGGAGAAATCATCGGATGAGTTGGACGAGGAAGTAGAGTATGACATGGATGAAGAGGTAAGGATCGAGATAGCAGCAACCACATTTTGTTAATGCACTGCTAAAATACACATAGATAATCTTCAATTCTAATACCCATTTCAACATGTTCAATTTGTCTCTGAAGTAACCTAGTTAGATCTACACGTCATTTACACAAAGATTTGTCCCAATTTTCTCTTTTGTTTTGAATATTTCAAGACTTAGTCGCTATATTTAACCTTCAAGCAAAGCCAAATGTTATTTCCTTGCACTAAAAATAGACAAGGGGAAACCCTGATGATAACAGACACGCTAACTTTGGTTTGAAAAATATACTTGTATGAATATCAGTGATGTTTTATTCAACAACAAATATTTATAAGGTACTTTATTTGCTGGTCCACAGGGACTGGCAGTCACATGAATTACCGGACCAAGCCTAATTTTACCGGTACAAAACTGGTAATTACTGGTAAACGGGAACACTGAGATCCTTACTGAAGTTGACATTTTTGTTCCCACTGGCTTTTGAACTGCCAGTCCTGGTGTCATCCATCAACTTCTAAGTAATGCCTATAAAACAATTTATATTTGGTCTGTTTGAATGAATCTGGAGAGCAAATTTTGATTGAACCATTCACATTTTTTTATGGCAATGACTGTCATTAAATGACTACGGATGAATTCTCCAGATTCTTCACATATTTTACTGGCACATGTAACTCATTTACTAACACAACTAAGTGAACAGTAGAATACTGTATTATGCTCTTATTATTACAGTGTAGTGTCACATCAAACAGAGTTTTGATGTCAACATTTTTTCTAACATTTGATCATCAAATTTTCATTTTGTTACCTTGTCTATTTGTTTGTTTTTCAGGATCATGCATGGCTCGAGATTCTGAATGATAAGAGAGATACAGATGGAATACAAACTGTTTCGCAAGAAGTGTTTGAAACACTTATGGATAGATTTGAAAAAGAAGCTTACTTCCAAAGTCAAAGCTCAGGAAAAGATCCGAATCCCTCCATCGATGAAGATGCTGTGTGCTCAATATGTATGGATGGCGAATGCCAAAATAGCAATGTGATTCTGTTCTGTGACATGTGTAACTTGGCAGTTCATCAGGAGTGCTATGGTGTACCCTACATTCCAGAAGGACAGTGGTTGTGTCGGCGCTGCTTACAATCCCCATCGCGAGCAGTTGACTGCTGTCTGTGTCCCAACAAGGGAGGTGCTTTCAAGCAAACTGAGGATGGACGTTGGGCGCATGTGGTTTGTGCTCTCTGGATCCCCGAAGTGGGGTTCGCCAACACAGTATTTCTAGAGCCCATTGACAGTATAGACCGGATTCCAGCTGCCCGAAAGAAATTGACTTGTTACATATGCAAGCAGAGGGGTTCGGGGGCCTGTATTCAGTGTCACAAGACCAATTGTTACACAGCATTTCATGTGACTTGTGCCCAACAGGCAGGACTCTTCATGAAAATAGAGCCTGTTCGTGAATGTGGACCAAATGGAACAACCAATGGAGTCAGAAAGACAGCATACTGTGATGTGCACACACCTGCAGACTCGGACTGTACGCCTCATTTAGCAGATGAAGACAAGTCAGTGTCTGCTAAAAAGGCAAAAGAAAAATCGAGAATCAAGATGAGAAAAGCTCGGAAAATTTTAGCGGAGAAGCGCAATGCTGTGCCAGTTGTATCAATACCAATTATTCCACAATCGAGGTAAGGATAAATATTTATTTGAAATATCTGTAAAAAGTACTTTTGTTAAACATGGAATTGTTGTTTTATTGGTTGTTTGAAAATCATAGATCATGTAGATATGGAATTGATGACATTTCAAAATAGTGTAAAAAATCATTTAAAATATGTCAACATGGGCTAGCACTGCTATAGATAAATCAGTTGAAGGCAGATGTCGGCATGAGCATCTGAATGTGTGAAGTTCCTATTATACCGGTATTAATATGGTTAAGACCACCATGAAAATCCAGTTTAGAATATATTGGTCTTCAGCAATTCACCCTTGTCATAAGAGGCAGCTAATGGGATCAGGTGGTCAGGCTTTCTGACGTGGTTGATGCATGTCATCGTACCAAAATGTGTAGATCGATGCTCATGATGTCAATCACTGGATTGTGTGGTCCAAGCTCGAGTATTTACATGCGGCTGTCATACAGCTGAAATATTGCTGAATGTTGCATTACACAACAGACAATGACAGAAGCATGATTAACTGACAGTACTCATTTTTGTTCATAAGTAAGAGGTTTCCCCAAGAGGTAACACGGACATTAGGAAATGTCTTAAGCTAAGAGGGGACACAGTGGCCAGAAATCTAAGGTGGCACAATTCACATTGCTTCTCTGAGGCGTCACAGAAACCTTTGGCCATGTGTCGAATCCCAGATTCACCCTGATTATTTTTCTAGGTTTGTCAGCACCAAACAGCACTGACTTGGCTTGATGCATGTCATCGTATCACAATTGCGTATATAGATGCTCATGATGTCAGTCACTGGATTGTCTGATCCATGCGAGATATTTACAAACCACTGTCACATAGCTGGAATATTGCTGAGTGTGGCATTAAACAACCTACCAACAAACAAAACAAATGTATCATAAATTCAGCTTTCTTCGTCCAAGTAAAACATTCATTATCAACTTTCAGATGATATTCAATATTTTATGCCTTGTCTAATACAGTGAAACCCTATTAATCCGGAAACCCTGCTTTCTGGACAATTCTACATATACAGGTGATACTACAATGTATACAATATTCATTATCCTGTTAACATGGTTACATTGCCAGGGACATCAAACCTAAGAAAGCATGACAAATTACACGTAACAGAGGGATTAGTGATGTAATAAAGTAACTAAAAAGCATTGAGTGTCAAAGATCGTTCTTGTGTGGACAAGTGAGGCTTAGTCAGACACAAATTTAATTATTTTTTTAATTAGGTTGCAATTTTCAATAATAGGATGCACTTGTGTATGTTTTTGTTTAGCTAAATTGAGCCCTGGAGAGTCAATGCTTCCTGTCATTACTCTAATATAAAGATCAAATATTTATAGGAACCCTAGATTCAAATACTGTAACAGGGTTACTGGTTAGCCATGATCACTAGTCCATCAATGTGGCTAGTATTTTCTCTTTCAAAATGTAGTTTTTACATAAACCACTAATCCAAAGTTAAATGTGGACCAGTTGTCTACCCTATTAGCCAATCTCAAGGATTTTTCTTAATGTCGAACACTGTGCTTAGCCCAGTTATGAAGTAATAATTAACAATATGTATGAGTGAGAAATTACTAATAAACCAATGTTAGAATTGGCTTTATTTTGTCCAGGTTAACTCGGATTTCTAGTCTGGTGTCTCTTCAGAAGAAGGATCAATTTCTCAAGCGTCTGCTCAGCTACTGGACCCTGAAGAGACAGTCCCGGTTTGGAGTGCCATTGCTCAGAAGATTACAGTCTAATCATATGACACGCAACAAGGAACATGTAAGTCAATTGTCAAATTGTTGTACAGCTCTGACTTATCAGACTGTTTATACTACTTGGAAATAGAGACCCAATTTTTACTGTAGATTTTCCCAGACCTGCCCCCTAATCTTATGATTTCAAGTCAAAGAGGGGACAATGAGCTTTGTTGATAATTTCAAATAAATGCTTAACTAATTTTGTCAGATATTGTTTTGAAATGAAATATGTATTACAGTTGATTTGAAGTGACTAAGTACAGTTATGATTTTTAGGGTCGTCTGTATGTGATTTGTGAATTTATGGAAACTAATTTCTTCTTTTTTCAGCAATCCAAAAATGACAAGCAGAGCAATGCTCTTCGTGAGCAACTGAAATACTGGCAGAGATTGAGACAAGATCTGGAGAAGGCGAGATTACTAGTGGAACTCATTCGCAAGAGAGAAAAATTAAAAAGAGAACAGGTAAGTTTGTGAGATATAATTTGCTTTGTGGTTGCATTTCAACCTTACGTCTTTTTCTTGAAAATACAAAGTCAAAAGTCTGATCAGGAGATAAAAAAGGTTCAGTCTACCAGATGTTATAATTAATCAACCTCGTAGTCTACTAGCCCAAATTTGGCTCTTTGCATCATTTTTAGTAGATTTCCATGTTTTTATTTCAACAATTTACTTGACCGAAAGGAAACATAAGTGGCAGAAGTCTGTAGACTGTTGAATTGGCTTGGATACATGGCTGTGTTTGGAAAATAAGAATCACAGTCAAGGGTTGAACCACATCACTATCTCTTGTCCTAAGAGGCAACTAATTTAGATTGGGTGGTCATCCCAATAGTGATAGTATGCCATCGGATCCAGCTGGAGTGTCGTTGCTCATGTCAACTGCTGGTTTATCTAGCCCTGGCTCGATATAGCTGCAATATTGCTGTCCAGGGCAACAAAACCCTTACAACTTATAAATGCATGGATTGTAGTTTTCATGGTCTATACTCGTTTATTTCAATGCCACAGTGCTATAGTAGGAAAATTGCTGATTACGGCATATTCCTTCAGTCAAATATTTTCCCTTTCAACATCTGCATGGTCTTAGCCTAAGTAAAATTCTGTTTGGTCTAGTAAGCTCAGCAAATCGTAGTCTACATAATGACCCTAACATCTACTGGAACTGTTGCTATGAGTATGAGCCAAGTTTGGGAAAGTAGACTCATAAGGTTTTGGTGCAGACTGCAGTTGTTCATACTCTATCAGTCAAATAGAACATCGTGAAAAAGTCTGTTGCATTGTTCAAGAAGTTCTGTCAGATTTTATACTGCTTGCAAATTTGACAAACCTCCTATCACTTGACAGCTTGTGAAAATCAGATGTAATTACTGAGAACTTTTTGGTACACAAAGAATGATTCCAGTGATTACTGCCATGTGTGTGGGGTTGATTATGGGCAATTTGTTCTGTTATTGTCTAATAAACAATGTGTGTATTTGTGTGCCATTGCAATTAGTGCAGTGTATGCTCCTTTGCTGTACCCAACTGAGGTGGTACCGAAGTTGGAATACTGCCAGACTTGATTTGTGTGCTACATTGATGATTGGTAACAATCACTTCTCAAGTGAACTCAGTAATCTTTGTTGTTACAAGTGAAGCCTCTTCCAGTGAAAGAGTTTCAAGCCTGGTTTTAATTACAGTAATTAGCATGTGCCCTTGACTTGACCGATGAGGGAACTGATGCAAATAGCATCTCATGGAGAGTTTAGGCCAATGGACTCGGATATTATTGACCATTGCCAGCTAGTTGTATTTCTGTCTGACTTCATACACATATTTTACTGTCACTAGCAGATGCCAGGAGGTGTATAGCATAAACTTGTCAATTCCTTCCTCACAAATGTTCCACTTATTGTCAAGCCGAGATCGGGATTCCTGGGCAGAATAGGCCCCAGAAATCCATGATTTTCTAATTAACCAATTTAATTGAGGATAGGAAGGCAGGTTTGAATTAATCCTTATTTTCACTTTATACAAAATATGATCATCTACAGAGTTGCCATCCATCTCATAATGAAAGCAATAGTCCACAAGGAAATGCCACTTGTCCTGAATTTTAGTGGTCTTGACTAGCTGAGGAATGTTAATTCAGTACCAAGAGATTGTTACAATGTCTGACTGGTTGAGCATGCCATGACAGTGTGGAATATGCTTATGTATCAGCTACTGGTTTGACTCCGTAATATACAGGTTGCTGTGATATGGCTGGAATATTGCTTACTATGACACATTCAGTAGCTCACTCACGTTATTCCATGCCCTAAACATTGGAAGAACGGCTGCAACCAATATTAATGTATGTATGAGTCTGGTATTTGCAATGATGAGTGGAACAGTTTTAGTGTATGTTAATTGCTCTGATCATTCATTCTGTTCAAGTTGTCTTTGTGTGTGTAATCTCTGAAAGCAGAAAGTATGATGACCTATCAAATGTTTATCTTAGGGTGTCTGGTTTTCGAATGGCTAATGCATACATGTACATGGTTTTCAGTTTTCAGTGATGCTTGCAATATATTTTAAGGGGAACCATCACATAAAAATAAATTGCAGTAACTAGTATCCTTTAAGAATATTGAAATGAATATTGATCAAATCTGTAGAGAAGCTGTTCACGTACTGAAGACCTGGGTTTGTTTACCTAATTCTCCCATTGCCATCAGATGTTTCAATGTAAGAAATTAAGGGACTCCTGAGGTCCTTAAAGTGTTATGGTGTGCTATCTGAATCTTGAGACCTGCTTAATCTTAACGTTTTACCGTGGGGTCCTGCTGAATTTCGAACACTGTACAAACCAATATAATGTTGCTATAATATTCAAGAAAAAATCCCACATTGGCTAGAAATATGTGTACATCTTCATCAACATTTCTTTGTATGTAAAATAAAGGTAAAATAAAACATTGATTAACAACAATTAAGTGAGTTGGAGTAACAGGATTTAATATCCGGCTATGTCATCTTCACAATTTGTAGTGCTAATTAGATTACATAGACTTGGTGTGAGCCAGAGTGTACATTATGTCTGTAGATTACTGGCTTTGATACTGTCTGTCTGTGGATCAACTTACCTTGGTTATCAGTGAGTAGTCAGTATCAGTGTTACCATTGTATTGCAATAATGAGTTTACAAGTGGAGAACTAAATTGGAATTTTCTGATAAGGTACATGGTTATTTCATACCACTTGAAATAGCTGAAAGATAGCAATCTTCTCCAGTGTTCCCTTTGGTAGTTTGGGGAATATGAAAACATACTTCCCCACAAAGTGATGTAGTCCTAGGGGTGGAAATTTACTCTAGCCTCCTAGTTCAAGAAAGTGTGTCTTGTTTTACATGTATTCCCTGTGCCAGTAACCTTGGGCACAGGTCTAAATCTTGGGTCTAATAAATCTTCTTTGTAAGCTTGAAGCTAATAAAAGTCCATTTTCATAACATTAAAATCTACTGCAAGTTACATGTTTGAGCTGGTAGGATCAATGTATTTATAATTAAAACACAGACTATGTTAGTAGAATTATAAGGGTCATGAGGTGGCTGTTATATGTTGTTACTATAGTGCTTGTCACTTGAAATAGAATGTAAAATATAAGGATTACAAATTAATGAAGCTGCATGTTTGCTAACACTCCATGAAGTGAAAACAAGCCATTCTAGCTATGTGGAATATGAATTACAGTAATGACAAAAGTTGACTTTTCAAGAAATATCCATTTTGCTGCAGATAAACATTTAGTTTTGATCACATGGTTCCAATCAGGATTTACAGTCAGGTGACTGATCAGTTTATTTTAGCAGCAGGTACATCTTGTAATATTTGTTTTCGCTGGAATGGCTTGTTTTCATTTTTATCAGTATAAGGAAATGTGCAGCTATCTTTGGTAATTAATAGTCGCACTATTTTGTGATTCTATTGCATTTTGCGAGGACTGTTTATCAAGTGATTGAGTTAGTAGACTATCCAGCTTGATATGCCTGCTTTGAGTAGGAGTTGGATGGTAGTAGTTTGTGTAAGACATTTGAGTGGAACCTTATATAATAATATTTGAATCAGATGATCTCCAAGTCATCCTTGTGACAAAGGATCCATTGACTTTCATGCTTAACTTGACTGCCTTCTTGGTCTGAGTGTCTGCCCAGGGCGGTCGAGGAGCCTAGTGGTGACGCCAAATACCCGGGGTCGATTCCCGACATGGGTACACTGTGTGAAGCCCATTTCTGGTGTCCCCCCCCGTGATATTGCTGGAATATTGCTAAAAGCGGCGTAAAACCATACTCACTCACTTACTGAGTGTCTGCCCGAAGAGCTGAAGGTTGGGTGTTTGATCCCCGGCCGCCTCATACCAAAAGACATTAAAAAATATGGTACTTTTTGTTACCCTGCCTGGCACTCAGCATTAAGAAACTAAAACAAGGACTGATTGGCTCGGAGTCAGTTTACTGAGTGTGAGTGGGGCATTCATGTTAGACTGTGACATGGTATCTCAGTGGGCTAGCAGTATAAAATCGACATTAGTCCGGACTAGTACAAGCACAGACACACATGAAAGCATGGATGACACTATAGTGCATATTGAATCTGACAGTTCTATTGACATGCTAGGCCACAATAATGAACCTCTTTTTGTAGACACTTGTGATGGACAGTTAGTGCAATGATGTATGTTAACGAAAGTGTTTTGTTTCAGATTCGATTCCATCAGCTTGCCACAGAGTATCAGCTTCAGCCATTTGTGTTGCTCCTCCGACAAACTCTGGAGCAGTTGGAAGAAAGGGACACTACCAGTATCTTCGCAGAACCTGTGTCTCTCAAAGAGGTAGGTTTCAAACAGTCTGTTTAGCATGTATAATAATATAGGCACTTTTCTAGATTGGTTGAGTTTTTGAAGGATGTCGTGCAAAAGTTGTTAAGAATTCCTTGTTTGTGGTTTACAAAGTCTTTTAAAAAACATTGCGTCCTTGATGTTTGTTCTTATGTTTGTTGCATTTAAAGGGACGTAAATGTGGTACTTTTAACATAATGGTTATTACAAAGACACATTGACTTTCATGCTTAATTTTAAACACTGATTAAGCATTGTTTTAAAAAAACTGACTGGCATACATATTTCTTTATTTTTCATGATTTTGTGCAAATGGTTTAATCACTAGATATTTCTTTTTCTTAAAGATCATATGGAATTGGCCAATTTGGGGAAAAGAAACACAAATGATTCCATCATAAATCCCTGTAGTAAAAGGTTTCTAGGTAATTGATGCAAATGACTCCATAAATATAGGCAACTTGTTGTTTGCTTGATGAATTAAATACATTCTGATTACTTGAAGCATGTGATACTATTTATCCATGTCTATGTATGTATGAAATTAAAAACAATACTTTTCACAACAGGTTCCAGATTATTTGGAGTACATTGACAAGCCAATGGATTTTCAAACAATGCGTAAGAAAGTCGACGGACACTTCTACACAAGTGTGGATGAGTTTGAGAGTGATTTTGAGTTGATTGTGCACAACTGTCTGACGTACAATGCCAAAGACACCATGTTCTACAAAGCGGCAGTAAAGCTGAGAGATCAGGTAGGTGTACTAGCATTTTCTTCATAGTTGTGTAGATAGGAAATGCCAAACTGCCCACCAGGCGCAGTGCACATTGCACACAATAGCATGCTCACTGGGAAACCGTATGCACACCTGCCAAACCTATAGAAATTCTATTTCTTGTTTTTTAATTTGTAGGTGTACTTACTACAGGTTAATGATAAAAAGTCACGTGACTGAGAAGTCATTAACTCATTTTGCAACCCAGTTCCACTTGACGTTGGATGGAGCACATTGAGTTATTGAGTGTTTGATCAGTAGGATTTTCCTGTAAGAATAATATAGAGGTATTATGTATACTACTCAAAAGAAGTTAAGGGCCACAAGTTCTTTTATATTACTATAGTTCATTGGTCTTGCCGTGACTGAATAACTGTAGTAATATGAAGGCATAAGGTTTTCTTTGACTGCTTTTGACAAGTATATATTCATGGTGGATTCAGGATTTTCAGTGGATGGGAAGGGTACACACTGACAGAGGGGCTGACTTAGTGTGGCATGTAAGGTGTCTATAAGAGGGATGCAACATCCACCGCCCCTGCCTCTGGATCCAGTGTTCCTGTGCAAGTCACTCAATTAATGAGATGAAAAGGATGGGGTCAGGGGACATGACATGATTTGTACTGCAATATTAATGTTGTATGATGTAAACAATATTCACTGCACTCAACAACAGTATAATATATTTTATTGTTAAGAATATAGTTAAAAATGGCTTGGGGTTCAATATTATTTGTGCAGTTGATTATGTAGTATTTGAAATTAAATAAGAGAGCCAAATAAAAGAGCCAAATAAAAGTTTTTGAGCTTTGATTGATGTCATAAGCATTCTAGTGATCAAGTACGATGATGGTGATGGAGTCCGAGTGTGATAGGCCAGGGAGTACGCTGATTGATTGACACTTGCTGAGAGCAGCACCATGTGGTCACATCACAATGGCCTGTCCTTGGTTCAGGCTTATGTGTAGGCACAGCCTGCTAGCCTTAATTACCTCAGACCTTGTGATGCATGGTCACCACTAAAGGTCACTGAGTAGATGTGAGATTTCAGAATGACATGCTTTGAGGAGATACGCTTAGATATATATTAGGGCTGTGACATGTGACAAATTCATGATATCATTATTATGGATTATGAAAGTATGGTCATCATACATACCATTATCATAATACAGAAAGATTGACACTTATAAGCTAAAGATGAAAGTTTGATTCCAACAAAAATATTTTTGGTAGTAGGGTTTTTAAACAGCCTTTTGAGGCTGATGCATTGAATTATCACAGTTGAGAATAGTATGCCCTCCTAAACATTCATCTATGGGGAATTTGTGATTTGGACCCATATTGCATAGACATTTGGCATTTAAGACTGTCTAGGAACACTTAATAATAAGATTTGCCATTTCCCCCTAACTTCGATCGACATTCCATTCTTGGTTTCTGTAGTCTCATGTAACTATTGAGCTATTGGGTAGCCTTGTGGTTAAAACATAATCAGGGTTAGTTTCTGTCTTTGGTAAATATTTGAAGCCCATGCTAGATGTCACCTGCTATGATGTGACTGGAAAATAGCGGAGAGTGGCGTCAACCCTACTCATTCACTCTTTACATTGAGAGATAAAGTTTTTGTGCAGGAATTAGTTACTGCAAGCGGCCCCATTAAGGATACAATCCAAACTCTATGCAACATAATCCCAAAAGTTTACTGGTCCAAATAGTTATAACATATGAGGGCACCGCTAAATATCCTGAATTGTACTAGCCCTTGGATACCATTAACATTAGACAAACTGACTCCGGCATGTGGGCGAGAGCCAGTTTGCATCTCTGTAATAGTATAGTAAGAGGATACACAGCTTATTTGTTTCAGAGCAGATTAACCACTGATAAAGTTTAAAGGTACAGACATGTTACATGGCACTTAAGCCACTGGTTTGTTGTAATATTTTAGAATTTAGAAAGCTATAGGCATCCTCTGTCGGGTATTAAAAAATGGGTAGGCCTTGAATTATTAGTTCGAGCACAAGGGCACAAGAATAAGTGACAGTCTACGACTTTGCCGCTAATCCGAAGCCCAAGACTAGTAAAATTCTGTTTGGTCTTTTACACCCAGCTGACACTAAATTCTACTGAAACTGAAATGTTTGGGCGAGTAGACTCCAAAGTGTTTGGCACAGACTGCAGGGATTTATTTTGTTGGTGGTTCCTAGGAATGTTGTGCTTAGAATTCACTAGAAAAACATATAAACCACAATTAGTCAATTTTGACATCCAAGACAATTGAATCACGCCCATATACACTTTCACCCTTACATGCAGTTGTAAGCAGGTATTCCACATCAATATCATTCTGGTCTATCAGTTTAGAAAATGGTTTATGCTGCACACATGCCCACTTGCAAATTCTTTGCGATCTTTCAATGCATGTTTTTCGCTTGAATGACGTAGACAGAGTATGTAATGAAATATGACAGTTAGAAAGTAACAATGATTATTATTGTTCATGTTCATTATGGATCTTAGAAGGAGACGTCAGTGAATACGCTGTCGAGACGAAAATAAGTGACACTTCAGCTGTGCGATAAGTTTGCAATGCAAGAAAATGGTATTTTCTTTGTATGGCATTACATCAGAGGAATGGCAAGTAACTCTTCTGTGCTCGGTAAAGAGGGAAGGCCTATTCTAGAGACTGATGTTCCACATGGCCTTGTTTTAATTGAGAGTAGTATTCCAAATGGAACATTTGTTTATCGTAACATATCAGTTAATTAAGAAAAAAGGCCAGATATGATCTGTTTACAGATTTGCAGACCTTTTCCAGCTTTGTAAAAAGGGTGAATGAGATTTGAGAAGATTTGAAACAGCACAGGTGGCTCTATTTGTCTGACTTCAAATGCTGCACGTGCATTTTTCATCCCTAGAAGCAGTGTAAATATTTACCCTTGTTATGTCATTAAAGTCAGGCAGCTGCCCTTGTGTCATGGCGGAGGGGATTGACTGTATGATGAGCTCTGTGAACTTGTGTGATGTGCCAAATTTGACAAGTTAGAGATGGCTTGTGTAGGACACTGGGAGTGGTAGGTCAAATACTGCAGCCTCAAAGATTTTAATTTGGAAAAAGCATTTATTTATTCATTTTATGTTTTGGTATTTAACATCTTGTCTTTTTGTTTGGAACCTTTGGGTTTGTGAAACATTTACACAGCATCATATTGAAAATTGGAAATTGTATCAGAATCATGACTTATATTCTAACATAATGTGGTACATATTATAGGGCTTACACTGAAAGTGCATGGAACTGCAGAGTCCTTGTTATAACCCAGGGATTTACCGGATGGGAAATCCTGCATCCTATTCGCATAAAAATAGAAAACGGATGCATACTGTTTACAGAGTGCATCCACTGAGATGCAGAAAATGGGTATACTTGTTCAGGAATGAATGCTGCTATTTCATTATTTGGTTATACAATGTACTTAAAATTAATTTCCGTACATAATCATGTTAACCATAATACAATACAGGGTCGACTGGTTCACAATGTCCTAGTGCTTGTACTTGTAGATTAGTTTCCGTTGGGCAAAGCTGTATCTATTTATAAATAACTGCCTCTGAGCATAAGCAATATTATGTGTTTCATGCTTAATTGCAAATAATGTGGCAACGATGTCCGAATATGTCGTATAGTATGTTATAGGAATTATCACTGTAGTGGCTATCACGTTTGATCCAGTGACCCAACAGTCTACATGCTTGACCCATGGTCAGACTGTTCCTCACTCCAAGGTGAAGAACACTGGTCTCTCTCACGTGATCCACCGATCATATATTTCCTGTCTGCTGTTATGCAAGCAGTGGGAGATCAGAGAGAAAATGTGGGCCACATTATCTGCAGCCCATGTCAGGTTGGATCACTGACACATGGAGTCAGGATGTGGCTAATGCTAGCTGCTTCTGTTGGATGAGGAGGTGATCTGTACTGACAACCTCTGACATATCAGGGGGAAACATTGGACACAGAGGACTGGTCACTGCTTGGCCACAGATGTTCGGTCATCCTACATGGTCTGAAAACAGGACTAATTGTCATGCAGCAATCAACTTCTTTGTGTCCTGACCAACCAAATCGTCCCATTCATCCTTGTTCAATGGAATAGTGTGTCAGTGTATTATTAGCAGTGTTCAGAATAAGAATGAAATTCATTTCTAGGATCTTTGTTATTTTGTAATGTTTTTGTAATAGGGGTTCTTTGATTCCAATACCTTGGTAATAATGGACCCAAGCGTCTTCTTTTCTTCTGATGTTAATTAGAACATTGTCATAGGCTTAGCAATTTTGGGATGTCCTGGAGTTATGACAAGGACACCTGGACTTTTTTTTCCTAAGTTTCGAAAACAAAATATGCATAAGAAATAAAGTTTTTAGTTTGGCATCTTAGAAAAGTAATAAAGTTGGTGTACAACTGGTGTATATGTGGTTATGAAACTCTTTAAGGATTGCTCATGCCAGTGTCCGGAGACAGCCACAATTCCTTGGGCACCAATGCATGCCTCGGATACTTTGTGGTTAGTGTGGCAGGGACACGGTAGTTTGGATACTAGTATGTTTGTGGAGAAACCTAGCGGCATGAGAGATGGTTGGCATCATCTTGCCATATTACTTCCCATGTAATAATATTAAAATATTCCTTCCCATGTAATAATATTAAAATATTCCTTGTGTTCAAAGAAATTATTTGACCCATAACTGATGTGGATGCATGCCCCTTCTTGCTTGACAGTAAAAGAAAAACTTCTAAATAATGTATGTACATGTTACTTGAAACACAAAGATATATTATAGGAACATATGCCATCTTCCAAGATAGTATCCAACAGTGCCAATTTTTTACCTCTTTGACATCGGAAGTATTAGGACTTTGATAGCATGTATACAATGTTCAAAGCATTGCTCCATGTCTGATACAAATTAAAAACTTACTAGTGCATCGTCTCTATATACATAGACTCCTTCTGGCTGCTTCCTTTTGTGTATTCAGTATTCAAATCTAAGGTTCCTGGGTTCCTTGATGTTTGCATATATAGTATTTATATCTTGGGACCAAAAATGTTCACCTTTTTACATTAAGGTTATGACAAGGACCCTGTTACTTTCTATCTTTATATCAAAGACTGGTCATGCTGGCTTTGGTAATTATTAGTTATACTTTGGGTCTGAAATGATCAAACGTTTGGTGTGTTTCTTTTACCTTGAGTCAGAAACCACAGTTCGTAAATTTTCTGTTCAGCTAGTAAATTAAGCTACAAATAGCCCATTTGTTAAAGTAAAATCGATGTGAATTTTCCTCAGACCAATGACTATTATCACATTTAAAGAGCATGTTACTGGATCATGATTACATGCATCACTGTCGAGTTTTTACTTCCAACTTCAATCAAGGCAAATGAGTCATCTCTTCAATTGAATTCATTACTTCAAACAGTCGCCATGGTTACTGCACTAAACAAATCCTTTTATCACTTACGATTGTGTTTTGTTTACTGTGTAACCATGTCTTAAAAATATGAAAAAAAATGTGTTGACTGATGGTATTACGAGGAGCAGTATGTGACAGGAAGAGTTAGTCAGTATTCCAGTTCATTCATGTAGGGCTGAGGTTTTTTGTCAAATAGCCATGTTTGGATAATGACTGAAGTTTGTCCATTATGAAATTGTTCTTCAAACATTTCTGGACTAGATCAACTTCCCCGAGTAAAACCAAGACACCGTGTCTGGGATCGGGATTATTCTCATTGCGTACAAGGCATCTGTGGGTACAAAAAAGGTTGCCCCTCAGCCTAATGCATGAGATTATATTCATGAGGTGGGGAGGCAGCGACCCTGTTCATCTAGTGACCTGAGCACAATGCAGTTCACTTTGTCTACTCGGTCACTGTGAAGGGGCATTAATGAGGCCTTATTGTATCCATGCAACATAAAACACACCAAATTCCTTGGAGAAATAAGTTTAAGGAGCCCTTTTTAAGTAGATTTCTTGAATATCAGAAAACATATTGTTCTACCCATTGTTAAAGGCTTTTCTCAATACATTAGGTTTGAGCTGTTGGATTCTGGGGCAGAAAATGTCTCCAGTACAATGATCTAAGAGGTGCCTAAATGGGTACCAGGTTACCAGTGTTTGAAATTGAGCATGAAAGTCAACAGGTTCTTGTCTTAACCCAGGGTATTATCTAGAATTCCTAACTAAGTGGCGTTGGCCAGCAATTTGGGATAGTCGTTATTATCCCCCACTATAAAGTGGGGCAGGGGATATAGGAACGGAGTTCGTCAATCCATCCCTCTTTCCTTCCATCTCTTCGTATGTCTGTCTTTCTGTCCGTCCATCCGCTTCTCAAAGGGGACAAAATATTCTAAAAAAGTTCGAAAATTGGTGCCATAAATTATTTCTTTACAGAGTTACAGTCCTTGATCCATGTTATTTTACTTGGTGCATAGTGTGTGCAATTGGGACAAGTTTTCTCACAAAGTACTTAAGTTACCTCATCTCAGAGAAATGTATCAAGACTGAGTTATTTGTTCGTATTAATTTCACATTTAATAATTTTGTCTGACATTTAAAGCGGCCCAGGTGCCTAACGCTGTTTTCGTGTTTTGTTACAACTTTTGTTTCACTGATGCAGTGATGTTATATATTTGCATATGCTCGGAAGCCTATTAGGTGCGGTCGGGTAGCCAAGTGGTTAAAGCGTTCATTCCATCATGCTGAAGACCCGGGTTCTATTCCTGACATGGGTACATTGTGTGAAACCCATTTCTGGTGTCCCCTGCTTTGATATTGCTGGAATATTGCTAAAAGCGGTGTAAAACCATTCTCGCTCACTCACCCAGAAGCCTATTATTATAGATGGGATTTCTGTGTTAAATTGAAGAAAAGCAAGCATAGACACCCTGAGTCTTGGGTGTATTTCTTGAATCAGTGTTCCTTCTAGTTATCAGCAAAGTAGGGTCATTCCGACCCATCAATGACTGATAAGGGAGGGATCATTTTATACTTAGTTACTAGTAAAGTATGCATAAGAAAAAAGATTTCAAAGTGTAAATATTTTTGAAATAAATAATCGCTGTTCATGTATTAATGTATGTGGTGGAATATATGGAGTCTTTGTCTTGCGTCTCACGAAATGAATAGCCTTGTTAGAGGCAGCCCAAGAGTGCATTGCCTGTCATTTGAACCTTTTGGGTCATTGCTGGTATGCCATAGCTTGTTTGAGTGTGAATTAGATATGAGATAGCATTGGGTAAATCTACATGTGACAGATGAGCTGATGTATGTGTTGTACAGTGACAGTTCTCCACTGATTGTTAGCAGGCATAATTAGAGGGAACACACAGGCGAGGTTTACTGTGCTTCAGTGCAGCTACAATAATCATAGGCTGTGTGCAAGTAATTGAAATGTGGGTTGACGTGGAGTGTCGCTAGTGTTGGCTACCTGTCATTATTGAACACCTGAGGAGGGAGACCACCTGGTGTTGTGACATGCCCAGCCTCTCATACCCCCTGACCTCGCCCGTGCCCTAGTCCTCATCTTCAAGATAAAGATAGCAAGTCCTATTAGCATACATACATAAAATTGTTGCAAATGTACGTGTAACAAGATCAAATTGCAAAACACTGAGCATATTGTTTTGCAAGGTTAATCGATTTTGAAGAGATTTACGATTTTTTTTTTTTTAATATGAATTAATAGTGATGCGTATTTGCCTGATATTTGTATTGCAATAATGATTCATGTATTGCTATATGTGTTATTTCATCTGTAGTTTGTTTTGAAACTGAATTTAAAAAACAAACAAATCCCCCCCCCCCCCCCCCCCCCCCCCAACACTTATTTTTGACAATTTTGTAATCATCTGCTATTTTGTTAGGTGTTGCTAAGGTAGCAATGCATGTGTAATAGTCAAATTATATGCAGGAAGTTGGTCGTGTATAATTTCGCTTCTCCGATCACGGGAAACAGTTTATTTCTTCTAAATATCATAATTCAAATTTGACTTGAAATTTTGGCTAGTCAGATGGTCCATCTGCTTTACGTTTCAGCTCGCCCTTTGTAATTTTAACTGGCCATGGACCATTGGGCCAGCAGTTAAATTGACCTCTGCATAAGCATTTGTGGTCAATGATTGCTGTGTGTGTTCTGTTGTGTTGGTTTACTTAGGTATTTCAGTTTCACTGGGTTGTGATTGTTTGGGAAGTTGTTTGATTTCTGTATCACTTGCCTTGCGAGTGATTAGATGTGTTTATTGCTATACATCACTGACTGCTTGTTTATGCAAGGGAAATCTGTTTGCAGGGAGGAAGCATAATTCGTTCAACACGACGCATGGCAGAAAGAATAGGGTTTGACATGGAGACTGGTATGCACATCGAGGAGGTCCCAAGCAAACATGATAGAGAACCTGTCATCCTTGAAGACAGTAAGCATCTTTTCAAAGTTTAACTGGGAAACATGTACATAATACATGTGGGTTTTAAGAATCCTGTAAAGTCTGTTGTAATCCCATGCGAGTCTGATAAATTGAAAAAATTTATAACTTAATGCTTCATTTCCAACATCCAGAATGGCTAAGAGGGCCTATGTGCATGTATGATTGTCTACTCATGAGAGTAATGATACTAAGATGGCTTCCCATACAAACACTTTTGGCCTTTTCTTCACTGTTTTGACAAATTAAGTATAGATTATGACTTTTCTTGCAAATACTGATGGTGATACCTGTGAAGATCTGGGTTAGAATTGTCTTTGGCAACGAATGCTTGCTGTAGGAGGCGACAAGCTTGGTTAACGCATGTCATTGTATACCAGTGGCATAGATTTTTTGCCCATGATGTCAATCACTGGATTGTTTGATCCAGACTTGATATTTCCAACCACTGTCATGTATAGCTGGAATATTGCTGAGTGCAGCGTTTAACAACAAACAGACAACAAACTGATGGCGATTCATGTACTTGTGGTATTCCAGAAGACTGGGACATACTGGTGTTCTAGAATGCAGCATCTTTCTATGCTATCATATTTGGATGTTTATTTTAGATCATTTCTTTGATAATGAGTAGGGATGTACCAGAAAACTTTATGTTGATACTTCCTAAAATGTATAGCAAGTGACTAGAGACATGTTATCAGGTGTTAAATATTATCGTCGTCCACAGTTGACAGATTCATGCAGATGGACATCCGAGAGGGAATGCCCCTGGAGGAACAGCTGAGGATCCTCCTGGACAAGATGGACGTTGCTAATACAATGCCCAGAGGAGGTAGGATTTGTTGTCTCTGGTCACAAATAAGTTTGGGAGTTCTGGGCAAGGATATTGGTCCCCAACAACCTATGGAGGTCGTAAGAGGTCACGTGATAGATCAGGCGGTCAGGTTCGGTGATTTGGCATCAGATCCGATAGCTTGTAGCATTGATAATTATATCAGTACTGGGTTGTCTGGTACAGATTCAATTATTTACAGGTATCTGTAATGTAGCTTGAATATTGCTGACTGCAGAAGTAGACAGCAAACAGATAAACCAAATTCATCAAGATTGAGATCTTCATCCCTTCCCACCTCACAATTTATTTAGCCATGATGGCTATTTTTCACCACTTGACCATTCCTGTAAGCTTCAAGTTGCCCTGACAGTCAATTTAATAAACATGGAACTTATTAAATGTTCCTTCCCTGATATTTAAAAAAATAATATTTATACTCTTTAATTAAAATTTTCTTGTTTGATTGTGGCCAGGGGACAGTCAATACATTTGATGATGTCTTTCTGTTACTGAAATATGATCATTAGACCTTAGAGCATTAATCAGGAAGAATTAGGAATATACACAAGTTTCATTAAATGTTGCTAGTGAGGAAGCTTTTTCAAGCTACAGTCACTGGAGTGTTTGGTGTGTTCAGACGTCCTTTAAGAATTTTTTCATAAGTATTGTAATCTTGTGAACTCATGTGGCAAGTGCTAATTCTTTCCAGGTCGAAGGTCTAAATTTGCCAAAAGAATTAAGAAAGAAATATTCAAAGTGCGGAGAAAGTTGGCATTACAAAAAGGACAAAGTGCAATGGATACTGCTGATGAAACAGGTAATCAATTCTTTCCATATAAACAAGAAAGCTATGCTAAACAATCACTTCTGTCTCAAGTCAAATTAACTCATGTATTAATGGAAGTCTTTCTTTGTGATAACCTTGTAAACAGCTTTTATCATGTAATAAAACCCTTTCCCCAACACAAATCACTCTTTGTAATGTAATTATATGTATTACTTTGGCGTATTGAAATTGTAACATCCCAGTCTGAACACTGCATTACATTGTCACATTATGCACTTGACTTATTCCTATTTATTCCTATTTTGGTAGCATCATCAGAAGCTGCTTCTGCAGAAGAGGGAGAGAGTCAGCCTGTTTCTCCAATGAGATACCCCAGTACTTCCACACCTGGCCGACCATCACTCAAAGACAAGCTAGCTGACAAACCTACACCCAAACCAGCTGGGCGAGGCACACCTGGCAGACCCCCTGGGCGAGGCCGTGGGCGGGGCAGACACCGTGCCCAGAGTACAAGGAGCGAATCTGACCAAATAGACACACCTAAACATCAGGCAGGTATGCAGTACTACTAGGATCAGATCGTAAGAACTCTATTCTACTTTTTTTGGTGGTGCATTAGGACTTGGTTTGTTTATGAGGAGGAACAGGAGTTAAACAGGTGTGGGTAGTTTTTGCCTTTTAGGTACAGTGCACTATTGTAGGACAACGAAACATTATGCTGTGTTGAATAAGGGTTCAATGGTTTGGGTAATTGTGAGGTAAAGCAGTCATATTGATCTTGTGTAGATTAGAAGGAAATGTAAATTTGTGATGATAGTTAAGCCTTTATCCACAAGCATTTCCAGCTGTTTGCATATCTAATGGGAATTATATTTTGCTTGTGTTTTTTCAGGGGACAAGCAGCATAATGCGGAGACGGGCAAGTTGGGCTCCCACCACCAGTCCCATGCAGATCTGAAAGGGACCACGACTCCATCACCTTCTCCATCGGGGGTCAACCGGCGAACTGCTGTTTTGTTGAATAGTAAAAAAGCCCGCAATTCTTCTTCCAATGCTTCTACACCTTCCACGCCTACACAGCCCCGAAAAGGCCCTGGTCGGCCACCCAAACATAGACCACCACCAGAATCTGTATCCCCAAGGTCCCCTGTGCTGGAGTCCTCCCCCAGTAGCCGCGGGCCGGCTAGCCCCTCCACAGGGGCACGGAAGCGATCTGCCAGCACAGGAGCTTCCCATTCTGATGGTCGTCCATCCCCCCCAAAGAGAGCCGCTTCAATGACTGAAACATTACCTTCTCTTAGCGAGAGTAGCCACATCCCAACTAAAGCAAGTTTCCAGGTGTACCGTGTCGGAAACATCCGCAGTTCCTCTGAGTCCGAGAGCACCTCTGACCTGAGCAGTGGCGACGAAGAGCTGTCAGACAGCTCGACAGCAAGCTCTTCCAACAACAGCAGATCAGGTGAGACTTGAACCTGTGGCACATTGAGTCAGGCCTACCACTGCCTACCCGCCTATCCACTACCCACTACCTACCTATCTACCTAACTGTGAATGACAACTAGCTACCTCTGCAGTCAGGCCTACTCTCTTGCTCCATTAACTGCCATATCTTGGACATCCAGCCTTATAGAAGCCAGCTGACATAGGGCAGTGTTACTAGCCTGGATCGACTGTAGTGCATGGCGTCTGTCCTTGCCGCAATATGATCACTTGCATTGTCCATCTTTCTTGTCACCCCATCTGTTTGTAACAATTTGAATCATACTCAGTGCTTTGTGTTTTCCTATATATATATATATCATTATTTAAAAACTTATTTATTTCTTTTAGAATTTTTGCATATCTATTTTTTTTCACTTGTTATTTTTTTTGCTTATTTACATGTTTGGTTGTTGCTTTTACATGCTTTTTTGTTCATGGTTCTGTTTTGAAGTAAAAATGCATACATTCATTTTGCTAACTAAAAAGCAGTGTGCCAAGCTTTCTGAAAAACCGACACTGATACTCTTATTTTCAACTTTTCCATGCTGCAGGGAAAATGTGTGTTCTGTGAGTAAGACTGGACTTTGTAAAACTCGGCAGGATGCCGCTGCCTCTGCCGCTTCAGATTGCTGTCACTAAATATTGTAATTTTCATTCTTGGAAATGAACAAGTGTAAAGTTGCATGGAGTTGTTGTTATTTCAATATTTGAATCAATTTTGTATAATACGTCATTAATGGCTTGATGCTGGTAATGCACAATAGCCTATACAAGACTCTTTCAACTTAGTCCATACTAGGTCAAGACTGGCAGCATCAATTTTACAGTTTGGGTTCACTGTAGAAAACTCTTCTCAGGTTAACCAACCATGTGGTGATTTCTTAAAGTTAACATTTTTGGTCTCTGAAAGTTAATTTGGGAGTGGAATATTTGGTGTCATGGAGTTCAGACAATTTCTATATGCTTATGGTTTCTTTATTTCATTTTCATTCTTTCACAATTGTTGTTCCTAATGAGCTGCACATTGTCTTTATTTTCCCCTGCACTATGTGTTGTATGGTAAGCGGTACTGCTTTTGTAACGTGTGTGGCACACTTGCTTTTAATTGGATAATTGGTTAACCTGCTTGTTTTGTTATGACATTCACATAACCTGAGCACTGACTGGTCACACTTGAAACATTGTTTGCCTTACATTGGGGGCCGATCATTTGAATTTATGGTGAGTGAAGGGTTAGGGTGGCAGTGCTTTGAAAAATTATTTGAGAATATGCTTAAAAAATATTTGGTATCAGGTTTTATACACCAAAATTCTTATACTGGACATGTCCTGGGCCTTGGGGTGGCAGTATTTTTAAAATTGAGGAAATTCTGTAATAATATATTTGGCATCAGGATTTACGCAAAAAAGTATTGTACTGGATTGAAAAAAAGTGGATGCCAAAAGAGTGATTTGGCACTTCCTGTCAGAATATTTTTTGTATGTCTTGAAGCATTGACAGAAATAAATAATTCGAACAATAATCAGAGGCCTTTCTCAGACTATTTAATTGATCGGTTGCTTATTGAAGGAATAATGCTTTCAGAAAATCTCGATCAATGTTTGAAGTGTGTCCATCATATGCTTAATCATTGGCATGGTTTGATTGTGCTTGCTTCCCATCTTTCCTTGGTGCTGTGTAGAGGATAATTCTGACGCGACTGAGAACAGCAACGGGCAGCGAGATGGGCCTGACCTTGAACTTGGCAATTGGAACGGCATGTCGGGTAGCTCACCTGCTTCTGCTTACAGCACATCCAACTCCCCTCCTCAATCCTCTTCCGCCCAGCATGCAGGTAGGCATGGTACGTAGGCTAGCTAGCTACTAGACATTAGATACTTGCACTTTAAATGCTCTCTTGCTACCCCAGTGGACAGGGGGTGGACATGCTATTTGTTGCCTTGTTTTAGTTTAACTTCGAAGGCTTCCATGACAAACATGCCTGATTTTCAACCATCACACATTCTTTCTAGTCTGTGCCATAGAACTTAATCTTGCAGCATCTTTTGTTCCATGAGACAGATCATTCTATGTAGTTAATTCAGAAAGGGATTGAACTGATTTTATTGATTTACAGATTTACTAGACTCGGACTAGTAGTAAGTTCATGAATCTTTCTTTTTTTCATAAGAATGAAACAAAAATTTATATTTTTTTTATTACGTTTCTATTTATAAATGCCATACATTAATTTCCAATTTTGATGGATGGAGACTGGAAGATGTATGGTTGAAATCATGAAATGTTTGTTATGCTGCAAGCGAAAGAGGAATGGTGCTATGCTTTGTCTTTAAACAAGTAATAACACAGTGCAAATTGTTGAATCATGTATTTTGTTGTGTGTAAGTGTTTTATGTTTGAGTACTTTGACCACAAGACATCATATGAAATATGTTGGAAAAATACTAGGATGGCCAGTTACTGTTAAGTGAATATGCAGGCTGTTGCTGAGTTGAAATTCTGAAATTTGCTTGAATTCCGCTTTACACTACCCCCACCTGCTGGCTAGTTTTCAACCATTGCCATTCATTCATGAATTTATGGATGTGAAATATCTGAAACCATAACCTATCAACTGTGTGAAAATATTGGTTTGACTCTAATCCCAAAGAAGAAAAGGAAGGTAAGAGTAAAAGTCTTATTGGCTGAATTTCTATTTTGGCATTATTTTCAGTATAATTTGGTCAAAGTTTATATGCTGATCTTAGATCAGGAGACGCTTTCGTCAACCTGGCTTCAGATGCCATACCAGTCTTGGTCAAGATATTTCAGTTAACTCTATAATTGGGTCTTCATTAACTGTTAAACTGATATGTACTACTCAAAAGAAGTTAAAGGACACACTATTCTTCATATTACTAAAGTTAATCTGTCATGCCATGGCAGTTTAACTATAGTAATATGAAAGAATCAGGTTTCTTTAATTTTTTAGAGTAGTATTCATCATAAAATGTGAGTTCAGACAATTAAAGGGATTTTGCATGACTTTGACGGGAATGCCATTTCCCCACAGCGAAGTCTCCCATTACAATGTTACAGACATATCTGCTCTTCTCCAACAAACTTAACACTATGGTGAGGTTTCTTGACTTTGATATGCGCTCCATGAAACAGTCACTCCTAATCTACAGTGTTTAAACCATGAGTGACGAGACTGTATATCTGAGGGGAAATCCACCGGGAGTGGGATTGTGCTTATTACATTGAATGAGAAGAGGTTGTGGTTTAGACATCCAGGCCCTGCATGAGAGTGGTGGCTGTGTAGGAAGTGTGAGAAATGGGGCTAGTTAATTAGCAGTGGAAGTAGGCCACCATCTTCCTATTGTTGTGGGAGTATGTCTACACTGCTACACCACTAGGTCAAATCCATCTGAAACTCCTGTGGGTAGAGATGACATGGTGATCATACAAATTATGCTCCTTGCTGTCTGAGTAAAAAGGTTATACTTGATGAAGCAAAGTATGATTTTTCTCATGAAATTTCAACCAAATTATTTCATGTGCAAATTATGATACCAGGCATCTCAATTTGGCCTTGATACTTCTGAAAGATTATTTTTATTAAGTTATGAGTTATACCCTAGCTATAATTGAAGCTGAAACCACATTAACAGTTCCTCCTGATTTTGGATGTGAAGCTTGTTCCTTTGACATAAGTTACACATTATGTGTCCCAAAGGAAAAAAATAATTGATTACCAAAATGCATTTTTAGAAAGGGAAACCAACTTCAAGAATTATTTCAAAGAATCATTTGATATTTCATCCATAATTATTTGAGATACTATCTTGATCATTTCTTTGATGCATTTGATTTCATTAGATGTTTAGTGCGTTTGCATCATTTATTTCTTTTATCTCCTGAAAACTGTTTCTTGCATATGATGTTCCAAATTTTAAATGATGTTTAATGTTGGTTCTAAAACAGAAAGAAATATTTGAAATAGTTCTGTATTACATTAAGACCAGTTGCTCGTGACTGCGCTTTTAACTAATGCAAATTATATCTAATGATTCAATCCTGAAATTGACACCAACTCTCAGTATTGATATATTAAACTTCACACGAAATGTTGGGGTGCAATCTTGGCTTACATGCAGGTATTTGATGTGCTTAACTTAATGACATACCTGTCTTGACAGCCAAAAGAAAGAATAAAGAAAACATAAAGTTAGGCTCGGACCTCGCAGAGAAGGATGATCTTTTGATCAGAAGAACAAGAAACCGATCCTATGACCAAACGGTTCATAAAAGCAGAGTTACAAAATCAGTCTTGAATAAAAGGAAGTCTGTACGATTTGACCTAAACTGCACATCACAAGAACATACAAGTAATGAAATCAAAGAAATTAAGTTGGTCCAGTATAAAAGAGAATTGGGTGGTAATAAACACGAAACCAGAAGTACAAGCAAAAGATGCAGAGAGATGAAGGATAAAAGAGATATGGGTGGTAGTAACCATGAAACCAGAAGTATGAGCAAGAGATGTAGAGAGGCAAAGAGTCAGTGTTCCAGCTCTGTAGGAGGTACCCAAGTACACACTAGGGCCATAACATCCACCAAAACACTACAGGTAACCAGTGTTGACTTTACTGGGTCAGACCTCTTTGAGGTACACACACATGAGGGTTCTTCACAGAGAGAATTGTGTGGGGGAAAAATTCCTGTCATGCCACGAACCAGGGCTGGAAGCAAAGGGACAGCCTACTACTCAATGCTGCGTAGTCGGGACAAAAACTGTAATTCTGCTTGGGAGATTAATCACGGTGACACCAGAACTGTATCCAGAGACTGTATGGTAGCAGTGGTAGCCCAAGACTGCATTGTGTCAGCTGCACTCCAAGACATCGTGGAGGTGTCTGATGGTGATGATCAGAGTTCTGGGAGGCCAGGGTCACCTTCTAGCAAGGCAAAATGTCAGCCTCTCACAAAGAATTGTCAGACATTGCTAGCTCTTCTGGCAGATAGACAACTACTTGGGAGGACATACTCTACAAGTTACACAACCCAAGGTTTTGTCAACAGCAGTGGTAACATGTTGAATTTGGGTTATTTTGTTAAAGTTTCTTGAATATTTTGTTTTTAAAAAGAATTTTGTTAAAATTACGACTTATCTGTTTTGTCTAAATTTGAGTTACATTTTCAGTTCTTTAAGTAGTAAAAACCTTTTTTCAAGTTTTTGGTACACATTATGTACTCAGTTTGAGAATACCTTGTAGAAGGAGTTTCTACTTCATTGGGGGTACCTAATTACGGCTGATTCCTAAAACCAGGGAATTTAAACGAGCTGACAGATTAGTCAATTTATCAAATCTTCTTAAGATTAAGATCAAGTTTTCATGTAGAGATTACACTTATGCCTGTGCCACTGGGAACACTGTTTACAATTAATGTGGCCAGGTGCTACTAATGAATAGCTTTACTAGCAAAAATAGCAAGTTTGACAACACCATCTTTCTCTCGCTATCTACAGCTGTAGTGAGAAGACCTTTTCTGTTATCAGTGTAATGGAGTGTACTACCAGACAAGGTGAAAAGTATAGGCCACCATTAAGCACTGTCAGTCAGACACTGGGTTACACTAAATTCAGAACTGCAATTATCCACACAAAAACACATTGGGAGCCTTTGGTGATAACGAAAAACGAAGAAAATTTGTTCTGTTGTCCATATGTTCAAGGTTCTTCATGTTTGCAGTCTTCAGTATTCAATGAAAGACTTATTTTGTTCTGTTTATTCAGTAATCCTCCTTGTCTGTTACCGTTATTGATTAGAGCCTGTTCCAAAAAGCGATCTTAGTCATATGACTACTGTAAGCCTATGTTAACCTACGGGAGTTACAACCATTTTAGTACTAAGATCTCTTTGTGGAACAGTGCCTTGAACCCACTTGGACAAAGCGACCTTAGTGCTACAACAGTTGTAAGTCGGTATTAATGTATGAGAGTTGTGGTTGTCTTAGCACTTAGATCAATTGGTGCAAGTTGGTCAAGATGTTCCTGATGAGATATTGAAGATACTAAAAGATGAATGATAAGACCATTCTGATAACATTGATGGTGGATGCATCTGCCTTATTTATTGCCAACAACCTGACATATCTGTTGAATAAAAGTTAAGACAATGTCCTGATTGACTGATCTACAAGAATAACCTACATAGATGACCTTTCAAGGATCAAGATAACTTTCGGATTACCCAAGCATTGGCTGCTTGTGACTATGAGTAACGAGAATCCTTGTGTTATCGTTCTGTTTGATTGTTCGATTCTGCGAGTGTTCCTGTTTCAGTGTTATTTTGGAAGAAGATTAATGAAGTTTGTTCTCTGAAAATTTGGGAGTAATACTTTTAATATAAATTTGTGATGAAATAAATTTCAGTTTAAGATCTCTTTTGACAATACTATTGATTGTAAGTGCTTTTTTCCTGTCAAATAGGACAAACGGGAGGAAAATGCAGATTGGAAGTATTGGATGATGAAACTGCAATTTCAAGAACTGTAAATAATACATAAACGTACCACATAAATATTTCGATTTTTCTTTGAAAACCTACTTATTTACAAAGATCTATATACAATTTTATGTGACTGAAATTATGGTGAAAATTAAGTAAACGGGTAAGAAAAGATTAGACAATATAGGTTGTCATGTTCTGAAGTAGAAAATAACATGGGGATATTGAGGACAATGTTGATGTTGGTGTAACATTCTAGGTAAGGACAAGAATGTGGGGCATGTCATATTCTAGCTATGGACGAGAACAGTGTAGACTATGGGTGATGTCATGTTCTAGGTGCAGACAAACACTTAAAAACGCAGAAGGGTAAGAATGCATGCATACATGTGATTTTATAATGGTGAAAAAAGAAACGAAGCAGTCGACATGCCTTAGATACAGTTTTTGCTAATGATTTCAAATCCCCAGGACTACAGAAAGTGACAGCAAGGGAATGTTCACCATCTGACAACATGCCTCACTGTGAGTTTATTCTCCCACAGCCCGGCCCAGACGAAGTCCCAGCTTTGAATCCGATGATGTGATTGCCCTGGAGCCCCTTGACCTGGTGTGGGCCAAGTGTCGTGGATATCCCTGGTACCCTGCACTGGTGAGTTCTGTCAACATTCCTCTGTAAACTAAATTCACTTGCATAACACCTCATTGTTTCCTGGGCTGTCCACAGGGTCATGTTATGTCTGGGCAGCCATCTGTTATGAGCTTTTATCCAGCAGCTTAGATCTCAAGTATGTTGAGTGGAATGACATGGGACACTTCCTTGTGTTATTCCGAATGCTTTCCTACTCCAGTAAATTCAACCTGAGTAAAGGAATAGACCTAGCTTTTATGTGGTCTTGAAGTTGTTTGTGTAATATGTGAGTATGTTCATCCTGGTAAATAGTCTTTACAATATCTACCTGAACACTTTGACATATCACATTGATTCTTGGATACAATGGATCCCCAGTACCCATCCGACTAGTATGATATTGGGTTAGCCAGTGTGGGATACATGTTCATGCTATCAATCACTTGTCTGCCTGGCCTAGAATCGATTAGCTGCAACAAGACTGATTGGTGTAATATGACATTCACTTTGTCAATCTAGAAACTAGAAACTCAGCATTTCAAATGAACATTCATGGTTCAAAATTACAATTGTTATCTTGTCTGCTCATGATATGTTGATCATTGAAAATTGCTGAAACAAGAATATGTAGAATTTAAGTAATTTCTTTGAACATTTGTAGTATGCCCAATGTCTTGTTAGGTTACAAGCAGCTGGACTTTCCCCAACACCAGCACTACCTAATTCTATTACAAAGCTGGTCTGACCTCTAAACTAACTACTTGTATCACCTATACTGCCTTTGATCTCACAGGGCAGATTATAAACACCCTGCAAGAACACTAGTCAAAAGGGCTTGCTCAAAACCACCTTGCTCTGATTTTTACACTGGTTAACCACCGACTTTGAAAGTGCTCACATAGCAATGGTTTGTGTCCCAGCAAGACTGCTTGTTGAAATTACTGGAACATGTTAAGATACTGAAATAGACAATAATCTGCATAAGATCAGATGATTTTCAGATAACACAAGTGCCTCCCAGAGGGACAATTAAAGATGTGGTGATAATCTGTGCTTTGCAATTTACACAGTAGGGCTGTTTATATTTCCTCTGGGTACTGCATCTGGAAATGTGATCTGACATTTTTGGCATAACTTTTGTTAGTTGGTGGTTTCTTTACTTGAGTATGTGTCGGAATGGTTATAAACAAACCTTGTCTGCAGTTCAGTGCTGTGTGTTTCATGGTGTTACACTCACAAACAAGTTCTCTATTACAAGACCTTGGTCTGGGTGTGTACCCTGTGACCTGAAGTGTCCCCTCTTTTCCTTATGCACCATAATGTAATGTATTTTAATGCTTAGGTATCGGGTAAGTGATAAGCAATTTGTTTTTCATTCCTGTTCCACATCAAGAGGTATTTTAGTCTCGTTGTTTTATGACATGTATTTTGCAGATATGTGTGCCAAAATCTTTCCAGTCTACCAGACAATTTGGCTAATTGGATTCTTTTGTTTGAGTTATGTGTACGAACATTTACAACTGGCTAGCAACCACAAAATGTGGCCCTATAATTAATTGCTGGGCTCAGCTTATTGGCAAAGTGTCCAGGACCGTGAAAACCAGTTGTTTCAGATATGAATGTGTTCTTTCATGTTGAGGGATATTGCTGATTGAGTAGTTTAGTGGTTAGTGTATCATTTTTTCATACAGAATAGATTTTTTTATTCCATATTTTGAAAGTCAACTGAACAACTGGTTCTATATGCTTACCATGGCGAGCAAAAATAGAATGTTTACTGTTATTTATAGTTATATTTATATATATATATGTATCTTAGTGGGCAAGTTAATTGTCCATACTGATGTAATTGAGATCTGTTTAGGGACCATTCTTTTCAACACTGGTCTGGGGAGATTGGGTAGCCTTTTGGATAATGCATTGCCAAAGGTCTGGGTTTGATTCTCCACATGGGTACAATGGTGTCCCCTGGAATATTAGTAAAACAAAAACAGCATTAAACCACTTAATCACTCAACGCTAACAGGTCCTGATGCCAGTAGATAGGTTTTTATTTAATCTTCCTCTGTTGAAACATATGTTCCCTCTTGAATCATGCTGCATTGTTTGGTGGCATAAAGTTTCTTTCTATGTTTACCCCAGGGTGATATTGCTCGAATATTGCTAAAAGCAGTGTAAAACCATATTCACTGACTCACACTATTGCTAAATTGTCTCCTTTCTTTACCAGATAATAAATCCCAAGATGCCAAAGACCGGCTACTTTCATAATGGTGTCCCCATCCCGGTCCCTCCTGAGGATGTTCTCAACCTGCAGAAATGCTATGATGAGACAGTGTACCTGGTTCTCTTCTTTGACACAAAGCGCACATGGTGAGTTGATCTTGATTACTCTTATTGTGGGTGATAAAAGTACCGCCTGGAGGAAACAAGGGGCAGATTTTATGAGACCAGTTATTCGGTGAACCTCTAGTTTTCTTTCAAACAAGACTGTCTGGGGATTGGCATGTTGTAAAACCCGACTGACTTGTTACCAACTACCAGCAGAGACTATGTTTGTGATTCAGTGATTATCTTCGATATTAGGTCATTATGAAGCGACAAGTGTAAGTGCTTTTTTTATTGTCCATCAAAGATGTTCATGCAATGGCCGTATCAACTTTCTTTGCTATTTTTTTTAGCTTGGTTGAATACAAAAATTTGTTAAAATATTTTCAACCTGTCTGTCATCCTTCCACACAGTTGAACTGTGATATGCATTGAATATCTGTGCACAAGATCAACTTTTTATTATTTTCTGATTTCCCGAACAAGTAACTGAAAAAGAAATTATTATAAGTATTAATCGAAAAACAAAACTGTTGAAACAGATGTTGCCCCAAACCACAGAGGGCCTGCTTCATTTGCATGACATCAGTGTGTATTCAAATCACATCTGTGCTCAATGAGGAGTACACACATACAATCAAAGCTGGCTGTTATGCACTATGATCTGCAAATCTCATCCTACCGAGTACCCATTCACTGACTAGAAGTGACTCCATTATATTTTTCTTTGCAGGCAATGGCTGACTCGTGGTAAGCTTGAGCCACTGGGAGTTGACTCCAACCTGGACAAAGCCAAGCTGACAGAGAACAAGAAACCTAATGTTAGAAAAGCTGTCCAGAAAGCATATGAAAAGGCAATTGTCCATCGCTGCAGTGTCAGCGGGGAACCCAACCCCTTGTCAGGGGATTCCAGCTCTGAGGATTAGTAGGCCAACGTGGATGTAGACGAACATGTTGACATAATGTGAACACTTTTTATGCCAGTCATAATGAATGAGAGAGATCGAGAGAGAGGGTTGTTAAGACAGGGAGTGCGGAGAGAGTGCATGTGATGTATGGTTATGAAGACAGAATCTGGTGGTTTTATACAGTGGACATGGCTTCTTCACTGCCAATAAAAGAAGCATTTTCCGCATCAAAGACTTTGCTGGTGGTAATATTGAAAACTGTGTTTTGTACAGTAAGAGCATTTCATCTCAGCATCTCTTCATCAGGGCTTGCCATTGTCGTATTGTTGTCGTTTCCAGTGCTTTTTCATACATCTTTATTCAGATTTTATCCATTTGTTCATCAGTTTACCATTGCCTTATCACAATGTCAAATACCATTGATCTGTTAGTGAACTACTTGTGTTTTATCAAATGTCTTCTATGTTTTATGCTTGGCATTGACTTGTTATCAACTCATGGTCTGATCACAAAGATCATTCAACTGGTCCAGTCATCCAGTGCATGCACTGTACCAATAAACTTTATTGTAGATCTTTTCATTTACAAATCTGTACAAGTTGTTTGCTGTTATCATAGCAGTGTTTATATGGCCCATGAAAGGTTGCTGTTCCTTTTATTATTTAAAGGATTAAAATATGAGAATAAGATCATTAACATGAGTTCTGTCTTTACCTGTTTCGACCCGTGAAGATCCGGGGTAGAAGGGGTCTTCAGCAACCCATGCTTGACATAAAAGGCGACTATGCTTGTCGAAAGAGGCGACTAACAGGATCGTGTGGTCAGGTTCGCTGACCTGGTTGATGCATGTCATTTATCACGAATGCATAGATTGATGCTCATTATGTCAATCACTGGATTGTCTGGTTCAGACTCGATTATTTGCAGACTGCTGGCATGTAGCTGGAATATTGCTGAGTGTGGCGTTAATCAACAAACCAAACCAACCAGCTTTACCTGCTTCATTGTTCCAGCTGTGATCATATACAATATGCAGATAGAAACTAAAGTGCATGGCAATATCCAGTTTAGGGATGGACCACCCGATTGCATTGTATTTCGTTTGTTGCACTCAGCAATATTACAGCTTTGATGGAGGTTTATAGTACATGGATCAGACACACCAGTGATATGTTGCGTGAAGCGTCCCACCTCATGGATACGATGACAGGAATCAACCAAGTCAGTGAGTCTGCAGACCCGATCCATTCAGTCGCCTACTTCGACAAGCATGGAATGCTGCTTATCCATCTATTCTATACTAGAATCCCCAGGGGTTCAAACGGATGTACATCAGACCAGCATAGCTTGCTGGGGTCCTGTTCTTGATAGGCAGTCACCAAGGGTGCACAAAGTTATCGTAGCACATTGTGACAGCCCACTGTTCCAGGTGTTTGAGGATTTTGGACAATATTGTGAAAATTTCGGATCATGTTTCCCCGTTAATGTATACTCATTGGACATTTTTCTTTTACTTGTAATCTTCAGACCTTAAAATCTAAATATTCAAAGATTTATGATTTTAAAAGCTGTGTAACGATTGGTGGGTAAGTTTCAGATTAGAAGTTTGAGGGATCAGTCACATAGGTTTAAGACCCAACTGACTCGGCAGCAGGGAAACCTGTTTATCTAGAAGTTTGTGAAAGGGGAAAATGTGAACAAATGCATGTTTGTTATTTCCGACGGCGCACTATTCCAGTTATGTGACGGCAGTCTGTATTAATCGAGCCTGGACCAGACAAATCAATCATTGATCTGTTATGTGCAAGTCCCACGCCAATGCAAGCTGACAAGCAGTTAAACCAAGTCACCGAACCTGATGATCCAATCCGTTCAGTCGCCTCTAACGGCAAGCATTAGCTGATGGACAGCTATTCTAACCCGAAATCCACTGGGGTTTCCAACGCATGTGTACGTACTGTATGTTAGTCACAGTTAGTGACGTCATTAAACTTGAGGTTTTTCCACATATATCCAAAGTAATCACAGGCTGGCCCACTTGGACAAAGCGCTCTTAGCGCTATGAACAATATAGTTGTTTGCATGTTTGTTGTACAGTACATTGACATCCAGTCACTGCCTAGTGTAAATGTTAAGGTACTTGTTTTCTAATTGCTGAGACCACACACATGTGTATAGTAAGTATCAGCGAAATGTCATCCTCATTAATCCGGAGGTACGTCATGATATATAATTGGATTCATAGAATTCTACCTTTTGCAGACACCCCGAAATGATACCCTTAATATTCTGAGTTTGATATTCTTTGAAAAAAAGGTTCCAGAAATAATTTAATCTTAAAAAACAAAATTGCTCGCCTGACATTCCAGATGTCCCGAAACGAATGTCCTGTAAAAAATAATTGTTTAGCTCCTCGGAGAAAAAGCTGCTTTAAAACCGTGACCAAAATATATTTTTCTCTGACGCAAATCTAAACCCGTCTTCACCAAGAATGTAAAATGGTCCCCAAAGGGGTAACAACATGACTGTGGTCGCTGAACCAATGTTACCGTGCGTGTCCGCTAGTGTGAAAAGAGCTGCATATTTGGTCTTGGGAATCCGCAGCAATGATGTATTCCTTCTCACCACCATCATTGTACAAACATGCACGATCAACTGCCTATCTAACACACTTTGAACACCTGTTAGGATCGTATGAATGTCGCCTCATCACAACCCGGATTAACCCAAGGTACCCAAACACCTTTGACCCAGTCCAGAGCACGTTCTGCTAGGAACTAGGTCTGTTTGACCTATTTGCCTCATGTTAGTTTAGTCCAATTTGCCATTTGGATAGGAAATTGCTAAATACAGAATTTGTGAGAACTTGATTGTCAGTTACCATTACTACACCCGGGTGTAATTGGATCATGTCGAGGGGCCATCTCAAGAATAACGTTCCCAGTAAAGTAGCCAATGTAAGTTGTTTTTTCAGTTTTCAATATGCCAGGGCTTCTTTACGAAAAAAACACCTTTTCTTGAAAATTGGCCTCTAATTTTAAAATCCCGACTTATCATGCCAACATTAGCATTTCGTGCGGAGAAATTCAAAGACTAAAATATACTATTCCAAAGGATTCAAAAGAACACCGGATTTCTCATGACTATAGTTAAATTGTCATGGCATGACAGATTTAAGATAATTATATAAAAAAATAAGGTGTTCCTTAACATGACATGACAGATTAACTGTAATCATATGAAAAAATCAGATGTTCAACTTCTTTACTGTAGTCATTTGCAAACATCGGATGATCTTTAACATCTCTTGAGAAGTATACTTAAGAAATCAAACTGCATAACAAAATATGCTAAAGGCATGGGTTTTTGTTTTGTCGCAAATAACTGATTTGGAGGAACATTTTATATACATTTGAGGGTGTAGCCATACCTTAGTGAACACAATCTCATCGAATCTAATAAATTACCTTAGACAACCTGGCGTGGAATAGCAACAGAGGTGCTTGTAAAGGCGCGATACCTCTGAGAGACATAGGCTGGCTCCAAAGGGGAACTCATGGGTTAACATTACGGGAAAGGTTTTAGTTTGGCTTCACATAGGCACATAGGCTTCATCTGGAGGAACATTCAATCGGAAATTCCTATTCGAAGCTTCAAGAGTCGTCCTGATCTCATGTACTTGTACGAAGTTCACGTAAAGGTATAAGTTATTGTGGAGCCTCCTTATGTTTGTTTGATTGTTGTTTAACGCCGCACTCAGCAATATTCCAGCTATATGACGGCGGTCTGTAAATAATCGAGTCTGGACCAGACAATCCAGTGATAGACATCATGAGCATCGATCTACGCAATTGGGATGTGACAACATGCATCAACCAAGTCAGCAAGCCTGACCACCCGATCCCGTTAGTCGCCTTTCACGGCAAGCATGGGTTACTGAAGGCCTCTGCTTACCCGGATCTTCACGGGTCTGGAGCCTCCTAAAGAGGATCGGGTGCTGAGGCAAGGTGGTTTGGTCGAATGCGTTTCATAGTGGCTCGAGGCTCCTACTTCAAGTCGCTGTTTTCTTGTCAAGGCTCGGTTATTGACTACCCGCTGTGATATAGCTGTATAGCTGGGAATCGAACCCGGTTCTTCTGTGTGACTAACGAACGCTAAATAACCACTAGGCTACCAAACTGAACGAAATTTGCTGGGCCGGATCACTTGCTGGAACCAATGCTCCCTTGAAAGGCACATAATTGAATCTGCCAGTTGATATGTACTTAACATTACGGAATCCGATTCACACAATTAATACACAACCACTTCGCGAAAGAGCCTGCGTTTTCAGCATATTGATAATTATATCCGCGTCCGAAATTAATGCACCCACTTGACAGACGTAGCCAGAGTTTCTTATTCAGCAAAACAACCACCTGCACTATAGACTATAGTTACGAATACTGGAATATTAAGATTCTGGATAGGTGTAGGCTACAGAAATTCTTTTACATTGATTAGGGATGTAATTTGCAGGGCGGGATTTTGAAGACTGAGAACGTATCGCAACGTGTGGACCTTGGTCTCAATCCACAAGCATTCGTAGCATTACGACCTATGGTAACTGTATATAGTTTATCATAGGCTTATAAATGCCGTGGTGCTATGAACGCTTTGTGAATCGGAGCCCATCATTTTCCCTTCATGTCGAAACAGCGTGTACCCCATACTCCCTGAGGGGGCACGGGTGGCCCAGTCGTCTAAGGCGCCGCAATTCGCTTTGCAGAGTTGCGTCCCTTGGGCACGCCAGAAACCTATGATTGTGGGTTCGAATCCCGGTTCGCCCCGATTATGTTTCTAGGTTTGTCAGCACATACCCGTGCTCGTGGGTTTCATCGAAGTGGTAAACGTCTGAGACCTGCATCACTTCGGGCGTTCCTCCCACATTAAGCTGACACGCCGTGATATGACTGGACTACTGTTAAAAGCGGCGTTAAACACAACTCACTCACTCACTCCCATACTCTCTGAGGTCATAAAGGCATTTAGCTCATATGAGCGAGCACAACAGTAACGTCCAGGACGATATTTTTCACAAATGTTTTCTCTCTCGAACCTTACATACCAGCCCAGCCACAAATGTTTCAAGAAACAGCGCAGGTGCGTCGGGCTCTTTTTAAGGTCACGTCTTTTCGAAAGTCACATCCTCTTAGTAATTGAGAGTTACGACAACGCATCGTTGTGTTAGCTGTAATTATTTCCTCGATTTGTAAACACAGCAATCAGTGAAGCAACGCCAGGAACAGGCAAGGCACGTCTTGCTCTAAGAGGTATGTTAAGTCGAATGGTCAACATCGGTGCAGAATGCAGGCACGTTGCAACTAAAATAACACGACATGCTCTCTGATTTGTGGTGTTTGTTGTTAAAAGTTAGAATGAGTGGATGTTATGTTACTCCACAATCGACAATATTCCAGCTATATCATTATTTATAATCGAGTTTGGACAGCCAGTGGTGGATAAATTGAGGAGCGTCGAACGCCGTCGATGAACGATGACACGCAATCAACCAATTACGTAGATCAATGCTCATTATGTCAAGCACTGGGTTGTCTGGCCCGGACTCGATTATTTACAGACCGCCGTCATGTGACACATGGTACTGAGTACGGCGTTAAACAACAAACAAACACATCTCATAACCTTAACAGCAT